AAATTAGGAAACGATGAACGATACTCAATACCCGGTATCCACGGCCTCACCGACAAGTCACACACACACACAAAAGAAAACACAATGAACACCCCAAAACAGATGTACATGCTGAAAAAGCAACACAATGGCGCTCTACAAGTCCACTTGAGGAACCACAAAAGTCGTTCCGCCCCCAAAAGTCTACCTGCACGTACAACTGAAAACAGGCAAGAGAAAATCGCCCAAATGTATTAATATCCCACTCCGGCACTCTACCTATTTTCTTTTCCCATCTCAACTCTTTTATTTTCATTTTTCTAGTAAGACAGACGTAATCGTCTTCCCAAAACTCCAAAACCTACCTACGCGCGCGGAGCAACATCGGTCCACGACGTGCTTCCCGTCCGCCATGGCGGGCCGCTAAAACCCCACAAAAGTAGTCATACAATCCATATCCAAGCGTCCCCCTCCCACCCTTCACAGCCACTTGCTCCGTAAAGTACTCTACTCAACAACTAAACCTCATCCTTGCTTTTTCCCTTTTGTCATTATCTTTTTTTTCTTTTTTTCACATCTGCCGCGCTCCCCGAGCGGTTCGATCTGCGACTCCCCCCGGCCTCCTCGAAAAGGTTCCCTTGTTTAGTAAGGCTTGGTTGGGGCTTGGAGGTGGGTGTGGCCCACGGGGATGGGGAAGCAGAGCGGAAGGACAACGGCGTATTGCCCCAGTGTGGATCTTGGCTCGCATGATGTTTCCCCGCACACCTAAGATAATTGAAGGTTTTAGCTAAGCTCCACAGTTGAAGGGGTGGTGTGGTCGTCGGTGGAGCTTGGGGGAGGGTGTCGGGTCTGGCAGCTGGGGCTGTGCTGGCGACCGGCAGAGGGTGCAGGTTATTTTCTTTTTTTGCTTTTGCCGCGGGAGGGGCGTCGGCGTTGGGTGGCTGGTTATCGTGACGTATCTCAAGATGTAGGTAGTTGTTGTGATGATGTTGCGTGAGTTCGGGGTGTTTTATTAGGAATGTGCACTACATGGCCTGACGTGGAATGTTCTTCTTTTTTCAAAAAAAGAAAAAGAAAAGGAAATAGAGCATTTTTGGTGTATCAAAGCGCACAAAACTGATCTTTACGTATTCTAGGGTTATATTTTTTCAAAACAAACAAAAAGGGTCAAGCGAGATACACACACTACTTGGCATACTTTTCCATAAAAGCAATTGTATGCTCCATGACCTCATTTGGGTTTGAGGAATTCAAAAAGTGCTCGCCGCCTTCAATTAGTTCGAGCCGTGCATCGGGCGAGTTTTTGAAGAGCTTGATTTCCTCTTGAGCATTTGCAACCGTGTATACCACGTCGTTTGTTCCCTGTGAGTTGTATAAACGTCAGCAACATATATCACGTTTGGGACATTGCCAACTCAAATGCTTCGAAGAGAGCTCCGGTGAAGCAAGCATATTCCAGCTTTTGTAAACAGATGAAAGACAAAAACAAAGAAACGCCAAAAAAACTACTCACATGCAGCCATAGGACTGGACAAAGGACATCCTCAGCCCTCAAATGCAATCCATCTCTATCCCTCAGATTAATCGCCGCCATCCTAATCCTCTTCCTACCTTCATCACCCGTATAATTCTTCTGAAGCTGCTGCGTCCAGAATTTCTTCGTCTCCGCGGAGCAATCCTGGCCAAAGCCCTGCGCTATGAGAAACTCGGCGAATTCCTTAGTAGGCACGAAGTCAGGCGTGGGCTGATTGTTCTTTGTGCCGAAGTCGCCCGTGATGAGGTTGGCGAGGGCATCCAAAGCCTGCCAGCAGCCAAGTTGGCGACTGCGTTCGGATTCAAAGTCGAGAGATGTTCCGAGGGGAATTATACCTTGGATCTTTATGTTGCAGATTTCCAGTGTGTCAGCTACTACTTCCTTTTTTTGGGGGGGGGGGGGGGGGGGGGTAAACGATTTCTTCTTTCTTCACATCACACTTCCCCTACGTCCCACCCTTCCCCCCACCCAGATATATCTTAGGAGAATGTCCAAAAGAAGAAGAAGAAGAAGAAGAGAAAAAAAACTCACCCTCTTCCCCCCCAAAAGCGCCATCCTAACCGTAACCCAACCCCCCTGACTCGTCCCCATCACCACTGCCCTCTTCACCCCCAATCCCTCCATAACCTGCAAATTCATCACCGCAGTATCCCAATACGTCCAGTGCTCCGCCTCATGCGCTCTCGTCCCGCCATGCCCCAGCAGCTCAATCGCCAGCAGATTCATCCGCGAAGTGAGTGCATCGTTGGCGAGGAAGGAGTCGAAGAGGGCTGAGGTGGTGAGGAAGGAGTTTACGAGGACGAGAGTGGGTTTGGTGGTGGCGGAGAAGGAGGGGGAGATGCGGTAGGAGGCGGTTATGCCGCCGAGGTGGGGGACGGTGATTGTTTGGGTGGTTGACGACATTGTTTTTGTTTTGTTTGAGAGAGAAAGAAAGAAAGAGAGGGAGAGAGGGGGGGGGTTTTGAGAATCGAGTTGAGGAGGGGTGTGGGTTTTGGTGGGAAATAAGAGTCAGTTTGTACATGAATGGTTGCTCGGTTATGTCATGGTTTGGGGGGCCTCATGTGATACTATTTTTTTGGGTGGGCGGTGCTTTGATCTTACACCAGTTATTGGTTCTTGGTTTCTGCTGGTAAGAGTCTTTTTAGTTGCCGGGGCTTTTGGACATGGTCTAGAAGGGCTCTCTCTCTGTATGTCTTGGGTACAGGGTAAGACGGTTGATATCGCGGGCTGATGTCCGACTTGTCGAGAGTTTAAAAGAGCGGCACGCGTTTCAGAATGCGGAAATAAAGCTTCGTAGAACGGTTTGTAAGAGTCTTGGGACGGCATCTTACAAACTCTTGTTCTCAAATCTTGGTTTTCGACCGTCTTGCGTGGCTACCAAGCCGGCGAAATGAGGATTACATGGCTTGGTGTTGTGTGGACCGTGCGCGATTTGCTCGGGGTTTAAATTGATGGATGAGATGCCGGCACATCCCGCGCGATAGATTGCTATGTGGGGTAAGGTAGAAGTATCAGTAGAGGAGCATGTTCAGATTTGGACATAAGAAGCTAATCTCGTACTGGGGTCCTGTGCTACTATTCACTCCTTTATAACGGAGGGGCTTATGTTTTAGTTAGAGGCTTCCCCAGAAGGAAGATGAGGGTTCGGTAGGACAGTTGTGTCTTCGTCGAGATGATTGGGTCAAACATCATCGGTGATTCAGCAGAACAAGGGCAATTCCTGTATCAAGTGTATGCCCGGAATATGTGATATTCTGAACATTTAAAAAGCTATGATACAACTAGTATAGCACGCCGGTAATGACTATTCAATTTGTGGTGTCACTATGTATCTAATTATCTATCAGTTAATTAGATAATTCGTAGCTAGGTTCACGCTTTATGGCCATGTCATAGCATTGGCACCATTGCTATTGAAGACCAGTCAACGTTAGGTTTGATCAAAATTTGAAATCGTAGCTATATTGATTGAAGCATGAAGATACTAAAACCCATTGGTGCGATCAACTTCATCGAGGTTGACTGGATAGATTTCGAGAATAACCCAGCCTAGTTTTGGTAGCAACCTCTGTAGTAACAGAGATGGGTGATTGCAGCTAAAGCTGCGAAACTTCTTAGTACCGCCTACTGGCTGTAGTCATGATATTTTGTGTCTCTAGTGAGCGAGATCTGTAGATTGATGTCGCCTGCTTTTTCGTCTCACGAGCGACTAAAGTTGGAGTACGAGCAGAGATGGATTACTCATGTCGAGGAATTAAGGGGGCTTGGAAACAAAGCTACTCTGCATCTTGTGCAGAATTACGGGTTTGCACAGTAGATATAATCAGTGGGTACGCATTGCCCAATACACCGTGTTGATGAGATTTATCCATCAACACCAGTGCTGGTTACGAGTTTCTTACTACCCTCTAGAATACCGCAAAAAATCGGTGTATGCCGGTTTTTAAACTGCTAAGAACAACCCCTGTATCATTGTTTCTTCTAAGATTTCATCCTAGCGTTCTCACTTGGCTTTGACAAAAAATAAGCCATACTTTCAAGCAATAGTACTTAATGCGCTACCAGCACCTTGTAGTCAATTGATTTAGGAATTGGATTTGTCATGGTATTTGTCGACTAATTCCTTAAATATCCCATTGTACATTCGACAGCCCTTGAACGTAGTCTAAAGAAAGAAACTCAACACTGACCACGACGCCTTGCAGGCCATCAAGATATCCAAAAACAGTACGCAAAGCCACTTAAACCGATAAATGCATGCAGAGAAGGTGAAGTCAAAACGACAATTCTCGATCATCAGACAGAATCACGTATTTATGGCATCAAATGGCTAGGAGACTCGCCTTGTGATCTCATACATAGTTGCATAACGATCGCTGGAAATGTCGTCCCATCATCAAACTCGCAGCGTAGACTGATGAAAAGCCAAGCTGTTGTGCTTGTGGGCTTGGAAATGTAATGATAGATAAGAATGGTGGAGCGGATTTGGTTGGCAAGTATTGGTCCGCCAAGGAATAATGGCAGTAAGACTGAATAGCACATGATTCAAGGCTATGAAGTTTTAGCCTAGGCTTTTGTACTTGGTGTAATTTTCGTCTAGCGTGATACAATGAGAAGAGTGCGTATGTTTCATGTTGGGTTGGTTTTGTTTGTATTCCAATTTTTTAATACTGGAAGTCCTGGACCTCCAGCTTGCGCTTCAGCGACCCTAGGATTGCTGTGTTTATTATCTGCTGTGGATGAGGTGCTTATCATATGAGCGCCGTTACTCCTGCACTCTCTTGTGATACTAAAAGCGGTAAATGCCATGACTTCTCTAACCTGAACTTACTTGCAAGTTATATGCATTCATCAATGACAAGAAGTTGATAATCTGACGTAGAATACACATTTCGTTTCATGAACATTCCTTGCTTGTATCCAGCCATTGGTTCTAGATCGGGGTCTACCTCTATAAGAAACCGCGACACTCCATCTAGCCAGCCCTCTAGTTCTCAAGAACATATCTATACCTCGCCTTTCCAGCCTCCATATCAATAATCGCATTGTTAGCGTCGCTCATAGGCCTCTTCTGCACCCACGGCTTAATCTTCTTCTCAGCCGCCAACTCCAACATCTCCTTAATCTCCCACGGTGCACCAACAGCACTACCGGCGATACTAACTCCCTTCATAAGAAGCGTAAAAGCGTTGATAGGAGGCAACTCGCCCTTATCAGGGGCACCGACCTGGACGAGGGTACCGTGAGTCCTAAGGAGTCCGACGTATCCATCCAGCGGCATCTTTGCGCTCGAGACGGTGGAAATGATGAGGTCCAATGTGCCGGCGTTGTGCTTGGCCCAGTCTTTGTCTTCGTCGGTTGCGATGTAGCTGTCGGCACCCAGCTTGAGTACGTCGTCGCGCTTCTCAGCTTTGCGGCTGATTCCTACGACTTTGTCCGCGCCCATGGCTTTTGCGAAGATAACGCCGAAGTGGCCAAGACCTCCGACTCCGACGATTCCTACGGTTTTTCCAGGGCCACAGCCGAATCTTCGCAATGGAGAGTAGACGGTCTGGTTGTGGTATAGTTAGCATGTGCTTCATATTCGTGGTGAATCGGAGTTGTAACTTACAATTCCTCCGCACAGCATGGGAGCGGCATCGGCACTATCCAGGCCTTCAGGAATTTTGAACACAAAGTGTCCATTGGTACGGTTGTGCGTTGCGTATCCTCCGTAAGACTTGCCCTCGTCACCGGGGTAAATAGAACCATAGGTACTGATGCCTTCGCGTGAGCAGTGGTTCTCAATGCCATTTGAGCATTCAGGGCAATCTGGCTTCAAGCAGGAGCGTGCTTGAGCTCCAACACCGACACGGTCGCCCTCCTTGATGTGCTTGACATTCTTACCAACCTTGACGGCTTTGCCAATGATCTCATGACCGACAACGCAAGCTGCGGTAAGTTAGCATGCAGGATAATAGATAGCAATTGGATATGCATACGGTATGGGCAAGGTGACCAGCCAGAGCTTAGCGTGTGCAAGTCTGAACCGCAGATACCGCAGTGGGAGATTTCAATGTCGACATCGTCCTCAGTCCACTTCTTGGGATCGAATTGGCCCCATTCCATCTTTCCCTTGACGCTCTCCTCGTCTTTTCCAAGCCATCCCTCAAATTGGGTGTCTGTAGCCATTGCGCCGCTGATGTGAATGTAATACTTGGTGTGTGTTTAGATATGTTAGTAATAGATTGATTGTCGTAGGCTTGAAAATGGGTGTTGCTAGAAGGGTGGGAAACCCCTCACATATATGTACATATGTAGAGCCCTGGCCATGACCTCTGCCGATGGCCCATCATGACGTGTCTATAGATTTTTATCTATCCGGAACAGCCTCCACGGAAACTTAACATGTTGACTTCGGAGCTGTCCCACAAATTTACCTGTCTCTTGCAGCTGATCGGGCCGTTGACCAGCCTCGGTAGCAGGGCGTGCGTCATTGGCTCGATTACAGGCGATATACTAATCAACAGCGGCTACCTTATAGTGGTAGCAGCCACCGAGCCACACGTTATGAAGAAAAGAAGTTACCCACTATGTCACTACCACGCGGAGCGGAACTATACTCCCTCTCATTGGCTGTGTGTCTCGCGCTAACAAAATGGCCGGTAGACACCGGCCCAAGGCCGGATTCGTCGGGAAGATCGACTGATGTAGGTAGCTGGCGTGGAAACTTTATTCAGCAATATTAGAGTTACAATGTGGGGATAGAGAGAAATCCGTTGAGCATTGTGTGCTGAACGGTGTAGATTGAAGCGCACGAAGGCTTGTCTCGCATCCGCAAACTGCCGGCGGTCGTCCGGGGTATAAGCATGTCTCTGTCTCATATCGATCTTTTTGTTGGGATAAAAATGGAATATTGAGTTGATATTTTGTTCATCAAGATACTGTACATACATGTGTAGTAGAGAGTTTCTCTTAATTGGGGCTCTAAACTTACCGGAAGCGCTCGAATCGCTCTTCCTCAGCCATTCTCTTATTGACGCGTTCAATCGTTTCAGCGCTATATAAATCTTCGAGGCTTTTTTCTCCCTTCAATATCTCCTTCTCGTGCTTGCTTGCCTCTTCCTTGGTCATGAGAACCAAATCTCCCATCTTGAGATGACTGTTCTTTTGTCCTGGAGTGCTTTGGTCAACAAAGCTTTCAGTTGGCTTCCTCCATCTTGACAATATCAAGCGTGTGGACAAGCCGCTGATTATGCTTTTCCCATTATACACTTCTTCAACCAAATAGCCAACATCGTCTTGTGTGATGGGAATCTTGAGACCGAGGGGATCTTCACTGAACACTGTGCGAGCTAAGCGTTCTTCGGCACCTTGGAGAGCGCCTAGAATACCATCGTACATTTTGTCTCGAGATTTTGATGGAAGATATTCATGTGGGTAACCAGAAATGGAGAGAATGACATGGTTGGCAACAGCCAGGCCAAAGATTGCTGGCATGGTGCCTAAAACAGGCAATATCCGTACCCGGAAGTCTGCGAGAACACCCAATTCCCCCACGTTGCCTTTTGCGAATTCTTCTTCCGAGAGCGGTTGAAGCTCAGCCTTTCCAGGTCCTGGCCTCTCGGTCGAATAAACGACCGGTATCCCGTCTTTTACGCCTTTCAACCGCAGCTTTCGTCTCGTAGACTTTGAGAGAGGGTCATCTGTGCTTGCTGAAATGTCGCCAATGAAGATTCTGGTAGGATCGGACTTGCAACCTGCACCCATAGAGGAGATGACCTTGATGTTGTTCATGTAGCAGTAGGCCAAGAGGGCAACTTTGCTGTCGATGTTGTCGATGGCGTCTATTACAAAATCTGGTTGCTGGCCATTTAGAGGCGCCAATTGAGCAACTGCAGTCTGCTCACTGAACAGCTCGTTTCGGCATTCGAAGTGGGTCCATGGTGTGATTTGTTCGAGCCGCTTACGGAGACAGTGCACTTTGGGTGTTCCAACATCTGCCAGAGTTGCTACTGCATGTCGGTTCAGCGAAGACAAAGTAACTTGGTCAAAATCTATGAGACGGATCTTAGAGCATCCTGATCTTGCAAGAGCTGCTGTTGCATGCGATCCTACTCCACCACAACCGACTACGACTACGAAAGCGCCCCGTAGCTTCGCGAGTCCTTCATCTGTAAGAAAGACCCGATTTCTCGCCAATTGCTCGAGGATAAGATCTAAAGGTTCCGTGAGAACTCAATGTAGTCGTGTTTTCAAAGACAGTGACGTCTTACCGTCGTCATAGTCGCCTTTTCTCGCTCGCGCGGCGAGTGCCATGCTGCGCTCATCTTCTTTACTTGGAGCAAATACATGTGAAGCCGCGCCATATTCAGTCAGCTGTAAAGCGTCAGAAAGATTATGGATCTCCAAGAACGAGGCCGTCATGGCAAAAGTTAGCCGGCGCAATTGTTGTACTTGCTCTTGACGGACGATGGTCTTCACTGAGATCTGGAATAGACGCTTTCAAGTCTGCTACTCTCGTCATGCGTCGAGCCTTTTGATAACCAAGAATAGCACTTCCAACTACAAGGCCCGAGACGGCAGCAGTCGCCACAAGCTGTGCATGGTGGGACTCGGAGGCCCGCGATATCCACGAAGGCATCCTGGTGGGGTTTAGTCGCACAGCGTGAGAACGTGCACTCGATCTATAATGCTATGACCATACAGGAAGAAAGCAACCAAGGAAAAAGAAAAATGATTGAGAACTCTGCGAACTGAGAATGGCTGGGATGATTTTTAGTCATATTGAGAGTGCTGGCAGGCTTCAAGTTGTTGACGCTAGTGCGTATGCGGTAAGCGCCAAAGTCTGCTTTGAGAAAACGCAGATGACCACCACCATGTAAAAAGCAGCCAGCAGCGAACCATACGGGGACAAATATACGCGTTTGAGACACTCTTCACGCGCCAGACAGGACGCTGGACTGTGCGGGTGCCTTGTCGCCTACAAGAGGCCTCCACGTCCACTTCTACTCCTTGCGGCCCACATCTCCGAGGACTAAACTGCAACCATGTCGAAACTGACATTCGCCTTGATCGGCGCAGGCGGTGCTGCTGCCGGAGCTGCAGTAACAGCAGCGCTGTACTCTACCAGGAGAGACAATTTTCCGCACGCGCCAGCTGTCACGACAACCACAACCACAACTGTGACTGGATCCACACGAGCAGGCCCAATTCCCTCAGCCCCAACGGGCCTCGCAGTTCACGCCCCTGCCGCTGCTGCCGCTGCTCGCAGAGCGGTTGTAGACCCCAACGGTCTCTTCCAATATGGCTTCCCCGGTCCGGTCAATGACCTCCGTCCTGCCGCCTCTCTCACATCGTCGTACGACCGACGGACGCGAAACCCAGCATGGGTAGCGGAGCACATAACCCCAGAGTCGCTAGCAAACAACAATGCGGATCGAAAGCACAGCGTCTTTGTTGAGGATGTCTCAATCCCTGAGATGTTCCGCGCAAAGCTCAAGGACTACCTCCGCAGCGGCTATGACCGAGGCCATCAAGTCCCCGCAGCAGACGCAAAATGGAGCCAAGAAGCCATGGATGACACCTTCGCGCTGAGCAACATGTGCCCGCAGGTAGGCAATGGCTTCAACCGCGATTACTGGGCCCACTTCGAAGACTTCTGCCGTAGACTCACACAGAACTATCCCTCTGTACGCATCGTAACCGGTCCCTTGTACCTCCCCAAGCGCGACGAGGACGGCAAATGGCGTGTCTCCTACGAAGTCATTGGCTCACCACCCAACGTTGCCGTCCCTACCCATTTCTACAAAGTCATTTTTGCCGAAGACGGCAAGCTGGGCGGCAAAGTCGCACTGGGAGCGTTTGTGCTGCCCAATGCAGTCATCTCCAACAGCAAGCCCCTGTCGGACTTTGAAGTGCCCGTTGAGGCGGTGGAGAGGGCAAGCGGCTTGGAGTTTGCAACAAAGCTGAGCCCCGACAGGCGCAAGAAGTTATGCCAAGAGGTCAACTGTGGTCTCATTGTTAAGGAATATGCACAGAGACAGAAGTCGTTTGGCAAGCAATAATTGAAAGTCGGAGTTTGGTATTCAACCACATGTCTTATCTTCATACACAGCTCGTGTTGCTAGTCGTACATTGTATAGTACATTTTCATATCGATACGTCGCCCTACTCGTACAGATGGCATTTCTCATGTTACCCATGCGCCCGGAAAAGCGAGACTGTCAGTCTCGTCTATTCCGTGTATCTTGCCATGGCATCGTTCCTCTCAAGCCTTTTTCTTGTATCCTCTCTGCAGACTTTAAAAGTTCTGCACCGCGCCGCCCTGGGCGCTTTCACGCTGTATCCTCGCGACGTATTGCTTGCTAACAGTGTTCCATGCGCTCATGTACTTTTCCATGCATGCAGTGAAGCAGTTTTCTTCGCCTTTGGAGAGGGATGTACCGGGCTTGGGGACGCAGCGTTCAAAACAGTGCTCGTTGAGTTTCTGTGGGTTCATTAGCACATGTAATTTTTCAAGACGAATTCAAAATGTATAGGCGTACCTCGACAAGCATGCGTGCATTCTGCATGGCGGCCTCTTGCTGCACCTGGCGCATGACGGCCGTCTTGGGATCGCTGGGGCCTAATGAATTCATTGTGAATTTTGTATGTGTTTTTTGGTGGAATTAGGGTATCAGAAAGTAAGGTGTGTGAGTCGTTGGGCAGTGGCTCCCGCGTGGAAAAGTTGTCGACGTCAAGAGCGGCGCTGCTCGCTAGCGTGGTTCCGCAACCCAAGACCCCTGCATTGCACGCGGAGGTGATAGAGTGGCCTTTCCAAACCCCAAGTCCCAGCTTTGAGAACTCCAGCACGTCCGAGTCGCCAACCCGTGCTGCCATCTTCCTTGCACAGCTTCAATCTCCCGAGGCTTTATTCCTTTTCAATTCCAAGACAAAAGTCATCTTCCATTCTTTCTGCGCGTCAATTGTCGCTTGGTATCTTGGGGATCGCCCGTCTCAGGCAGTAAGAGGGAACGTCGTGCAACCATGTTGCTCGCAAAACCATGGACAAGCTTGTGTTTGATGGCGGGGAGCTTGACGGGCGCATGGGCGCGGTCTGGAGGATTGACCGAAGATCCTGATATCAAAGCCATCTCGGTGCGTTGTTGCTACACGATGAGTTGAGGGGCCGCTGTCGCTAATTGGAACATAGCTGCGAACACACACCCTCGAGCCCGTAAGTCGCCTCTTCGTACCGTAGTTACTGCTCGAGGCAGAAAACTAGACTTTGCTCTGACACTAGCTATAGCCATATCTTGACTCGGATATGCAAAGCCGTTGGTGGGACTTTGGCGGAGACACCATTATTCGGACTGATAAATACATTCGACTTGCTTCGGACAAACCCTCACGCGATGGCTGGATCTTCTCGAGAGTCCCTCTTACAGCCACAAATTGGGAGGTTCGTGCAAAAAAGATAGCACTGCTAAGATAGACACTCACACGAGCAGGTCATGTTTGAGTTCAAGATTCACGGACAAGGAAACCTCTATGGCGACGGCTTTGCCATGTGGCTCACCAAGCAGCGCGCACAGCCAGGAAACGTCTTTGGCCATACCGACAAATTCGAGGGTCTCGGTATCTTCTTCGATACCTACAAGAACAACCGCCCAGGCACCGTATTCCCCTACATCATGGCCATGAGCGGCGATGGAAACACTGCGTATGACAAGGACAACGACGGCAAGGCCAATGAGCTTGCCGGATGCTCGGTGCGAACGCCCAAATGTTTGGAATATATGCACTCTAATAAGTGAATTAGGCCCGCGGCATTCGCAACGCGCAGATCGCAACCAAAGCCCGCCTCACGTACTTTCAGGAGCAGTTCCTCCGCCTCGAGATCCAATACAAGGCCGAAGACGAATGGACCATGTGCTTTGAAATCCCTAACTTCAAGGTCCCGCCTGTTGCATACTTGGGTTTCTCTGCCGAGACTGGTGAGCTCTCCGACAACCACGACATTGCTTGGGTCAGGTCAACAAACCTCTACAAGAAGAGCCCTGGTGCGATGCCATCGACAGGAAGCACCGGTGGTAAGACCGCTTCGTCCATGAGCCGCGAAAGACCTAGCGAGGGAAGCTGGACATGGACTTTTGTAAAATTTGTGCTGTTTGGTATGGCACTGACTGGTGCATACGTCGGTTTCACCGTCTACAGGGCCAGGCAAAGAGACCGATTCTAGGGGAAGAATTCACATCTGAAGTTCAGTGGGCAGAAAAGTCGAAGCGTCTGGAAACGTCGGAGATTACAGGTCGATGGGTGCGTCGAGATTGGGGATAAGTACGATTGGACAGCATTGTACAGTGTTAGATGAAGGAGTTGATGGTGTGAAAACGGCCTGGAAAAGGTCGTGGGCCTTGTTTACAGTTCCCTAGCATATTTCTGTATTACTCTACACCTGGTCTATACCAAGTCACAATCGCACATACGAAATTTATTCGAAGTAAATGTGTTGTCTCCGCTCATAATAACAGATCTCTGCACTGGAGCACGCAGGAGCTGTCGATGAAAGCAAGTGGAGTGGGTTGAGTATTGTTCTGGCATCCAATTTAGGTGGCCTGGCGACATGGAGAGTAGGAAGCGACCATGATGTTGGATGCACAAGTTTTGAATAAGTGGTATCGATATTTATTCGATCTTCTCGGCTCAATCACATGTGCTTGTTGTAGATTCCTAGTGCAAGCTTCAGCACCAGTTGGTGGAACCTGAAGACATGATCCTTGCGATGGATAGCGAGAAGAGAGAGAAGCCCAAGGTTTGAGGGGAAGGTGCTTGTCTGGAGAGGTCGGCAATACCGCTTTTATGGGGCTACACTTCGCCAAGATCTGGCTTCCCATTTGGGTAGGTTTACATCTGATGTTGATAACAGGCTTATTGACATGCAGCTTACGTCACTAGCGTGCTATTAGCGCGGTCCCGTGATTGCGCGCCTGCTCAACTTTTGGCGCGTTCCATAGTCGGCTTCTCTCACCACCCACAACCCGAGCTGCGAGTAAGTAACCCCACGCCAGTATTTCTTCCAGACTTGCTTGTTTCCTTGGCGCTATCGAACAGTTTCAGCGAAAAAACTACAATTACGCTCTAGCTAACACAAGTCAGACCCCAATGAACGACAAACCTTCGTCACAAGGCGACGCTGGGGACTAATCCCCCCTGGTGTCTCACTGCATGACAGTCAAGAACGGAAAGCGGAGGGGGTGCGCCATCATACTAGATGAAGCCATACCACCTGCCACATCATTGCACCGCGATGGGCCACAGGTGGTTTCGCAAAGCTACTGGGTTCACCTTCACGACAAGCCGCAGCCTCAGCCTTTCCCACCGCGCACTGAGGACAAAGTAAAAGAGTTGAAGCGCCGTGCTGCCTTGCCTTAAAAGCTTGGAGGACGTTGTTCGCTTATGACAATTTAATTGTAGTTTTCAATCCGAGCGCCTTTGCCTTCGAGGCATCGCAAGTGGGGAAGCGTGGTCTTTGTCGCTGGGGCTCGCTGGTTTGCGAGGCGGTGCTCCTGTAGGTGGGTTGTTCTTTTTTCTTGCCAAGAGCCCGTTGTGCAGACGGATGAAGAAAGGTCCAGTGATGATGTCCCTGTGGGGCATCAAAGCCAAAGTCGAGTTGAGGAGCCCGTTTGTTGCCTGTTAAGAGGTCGAGAGACTGAACAATGGGGGACAGTGAGGTTCTTTCTGAGGACAGCAGGAGAGCTAATCTGAGGACCAAATTATATGGCATATATTTTCTTCGAGTCTTTGCCATGTTGGGCTGACGTGATTGATTATTAGGCTTTACAAAATATCTTGTTCAATGCATGAAAAGTCTAAATTTTGAAATTAAACATGCGCCTACTTTACTCGTAGAGGTAGCAAAACGGCCCGTCGACTGTACTGACTAGGTCCTTGATCTGTAGTGGCTTGTCGGTCCTGAGTATGTCCATATCGATGGTGTCATTCAAAGTCGCCCGTCTACTGTCTGTTCCGTTCCAGAATAGCGTACCTCCCGAAATAACCTGCTGCCGATTCGGAAAATCAAGCGCTTGCCAAACCGCATACACCAAATCAATCATGCCATGATGGAACCAGAAATAAACATCTGCAACACAGGGTTTATTAGTAAATGATTGAGTGGCAGCAGGGAAAATACTGAACGTACCACCAGGTGAAGCGTAAATATCGCTTCCCGGATCTACACCGACGCTGTAATGGCCCATACTGTGAACGCTTGGATTTCCCTGCATGTGGGTCTGGAACGATCCAATATCTGTGTTGTTCAAGATGAGACCAACAACCTTTTCCATCGTGCCATCACGTCGTGTGAGATAGCTGGAAATATCACGTCTCACGCAGCGAGGGTTGTATCCGAAGCCATCCGCACGAGGGTTCGGTCGGTCAGGCAAGTTAGTTGCGAGTCCACGAGGTCTGGGTAAGATGTGTTAGTTGGGGTTGCTATAGTAAGAGGCACAACTTACCCAAGGTTCATTTGCAAGCCCTTGAACGGTCCACTAGCGATACAACCGCCGCCTTCACCAGCAGGTCTCTGAGCCGTGCCGTTTACTTTCGTCTTGTATCCCTGGCCACCAAGACTTGTCGGGCTGCCATCGAAAAGTGGGCTTGTCTCCAGGCTTTGGGACCATTTTGGCCAGTTCCAGTATGGCTGTGTGCCATTGTAGTGGCACTCGTTTCTCAGCGTCTCTTCAAACGTAGCCATATAGTAGCGGTGCCAGGTGAGGAAGTTTCCAGTGCCGTGGATGAATGGCGTCTGCTTCATGTGGACAACGATGAAGTCGTCATAGCGGGATTTGGCGCCAGGGTAGTCGACAGGATCCAGCTTGGATGGCTTCTTCATGAGGCATTTTACAGCAGAAATGTAGCGGAGTTTGGCTCCAGCGGACAAGTCACCCCTTGGTATCGAGTCAGTATTGCGAAAAAGGGGGAGATGTGAAGTAGACGACGTACCATTCTCGACGAATGCGCAGCTTGTCCTTGGTACAGGTTGCGGATTTCTTAATCGCAGCGTTCATGGCCGGTCGGCCACGTGCCATCAACGCATGGAGAGGATCTGCGGATGCCAATACACTAAGAAGCGAAAGTGAGACGAACAACGCATACAGCGCTCTGAAGTTTAGTGCCGCCATTTTTGCCGTAGGAGTCAGAAAAGGAAGTAGCGATCGACAGTGAGAGCTGGACAACACACTTTGATAGAGATCAATTCGAGTGCCACAAGGGTGAATCTTTATATACCAACTCCAAGGTCTTGTCGTCGCAAGCTTAGCTGTCTCCCAAGCATAGTGAGTAATAGATGAATAACGCCGGAACCCAAGCTTACAAACGCTCTGATCATCTGAAGAACGGCCTATTACATTTTGTATCTACATGGAGGAACGCCAGATGGGAAAGCACCGCCAAGGACTGCGGCTCATGAAGCTCTGAAGGGCCTCCCATGTATGCTGTTCGGGTATCGAGTCAGTTAGTCAAGCGGCTCACTCGCATACACTAACCCGCACAGTACGTAAACCCGGAAGTTCTACGGTAACACTTTCTAGAATATATGAAAGCTAAAATTACTGATTGGAAACGAATCCGCAGGAAATGTAGCAAAACCATTTGCGATCGACCTTGGATAAATTAACCTATTTTTCCCTTCGTAAGTTTCTGGATGTTTGTGAAACAACTAGAAACACTAGTTGCCTTTTGCTGGGCAATGCAGCCTGCAAACAATGCCTTATCGTGCTCAAAAACCTGACACCACGTAGCGGTCGGGATACCCTAGCTACAAATACTCTACTGTACATCATGTAAAAATTAATAATACCTCCGATCAAACATTGCCAAGATCATCGCGTTTAGTCCGTTTCAACTCCGTACGCTTGGTTTCTGTACGAGTCCAAGCACTCGGAGCTAATAATATATTACTAGGCTCGACTTTCTCTTTTCGAATAGCTGCAAATCGCATGTTCATGATCTGCAACCAAAACAGCGTCAGACCAAGGATTGCAGGGAAGCGAAAGAAAAGCTTTTGCCAATTGCGATGTGCGTTTGATCGTCTGCGGTTTCTTTATTATTACAATTGGATACAGTAATAGCATGTTAAGCCTATAAGCACAGTACACAGTACACCCAAAATAAGCACTGTCTCAGTTACATCATTGCTATGTGACATGTACCGGCTGTAAGCACATAAGCCAATGACAAGCGAAACCGTCTCAGCTACGTTCATTTACCAATCAATGGTATCCCTGGCGTTCATTCATATCTTGGCATACTGCCAGTTTTTTTATCGTCCGTTGTTCGGAGCTCTGAATTGCGTTATTGGTAAGTATGTAGTTGAACTCTTGACATGGGATGATTGTAAGCACGTACGCAGGTAGAATTGGTTGTTTTTTCTTCTCAATTTCCATTTCTAAACCGGCGATACTAGTAGTCCCGCGTTTATATGGGGTCGGCCCTTTGCTAGACTGGGGGAGTAGATCGCTATTTAGTTAGAGGCGTATAGATTACCTGATTTCTGGGATTGTTTGCAGTTTAGTCCGCGTTGGCTCGCGGCCCAGGTATATTGCAGCGTGGTTTTTTGTGGGGTTCATCAGGGTTGAAGGGCCGAGAGAGCGATGTTCTTAGTGTATTCTAGAGTTGCCACCGTGAATTGACAGGTATATTGGCGTGTTATCAAGGACGAAGAATTGGTTTACATAACCCAATGGATCGTTTTAGTAAGTAGACTTGCTGTTGGTGGTGCATGAAATACTCCGGTTGCTACCCGAACGGACTTGCCGTGCCGTGCTATGTTCGTATTCGGAGGAGCTATGTCTTTTATACTGTTTCGGGAGTTTTCCAAGCCAATAGTTCGGTTGATAGGTAGTTGTATTACTAGGGTTCTACCTTAGTTCGACTTCTACGCCATTCTTCGACGAGCAAGAGTAGGACTCCTTGTTCAACACGAGTAAAGAAACGCCTAACTGGGTCGCGAAGTGTCTACAGAAATCATTTCGCGCTGAAAGATGCAATGTAAACTTTGCAGATTGGCTCATGATATTACTTTATTAGCAAATTTTAGTATCAAGTGCACAATACATGACCAGCTAAGTGTAGAGCCTGAAGATCGCTAGTAGTCGAGATGACAATTTGCACCACTCAGAATCACGATCACGGCCTAAGCCACCGATCTTTTTACAACTCGTGTAACAGTTAAGCTCTACCAGGTCTGAAGATCCATAAGCCCAGGCCGGATGGTGACGGTTACGGAGCTTGACGAAAGACTAAGCCCGCACCGACGAAGCCTTAACATTGAAGCTTAGCCCAACAGAATATTCGGTCGATAGTATTTCCGAATGAGTAGATAAAAGCTACATTCGAGTTCTATTCGAACTCGACGGACAATTCACCACTTCTTGTCCCCCGAGCTTGACTACTCTTCTAAAACATGTTATTCACAGGCTACATAGCCCGGAGAACTACTCGACGAGACTGATCAAAGCTCCCCTATAGCCTCCATAGCCTCTCTAATTCACCCCCAAAAAATCTCCGAACAAAGTACATAGTCTCCCTAGATATCGCACAGATCCAACGCAATCCCAACCCATCATCACTATCACGCAGTATCATCATCTCACACCACTTATCTCGCGTATGACCCTCCCAAAATTTCAAGCCCCACCTTCTCCCCATATCCTTGACGTGTAAGCGCACCCGCACATACTCTTTACCACTTGATCTCACAATGCGAATACAGCCAGCCCTTGGCGTCTGATATAAACAAGCATTTCACTTTCGTGAAATTCCCACCATCGTATTCACTTGGTAGTATTTTGGCTATTCTGAGAGTGTAAAGAGGTTGTACGGAACGATCCATGGGACCCGATTAGCTGGATTGGATACTGAGTTTGTGGTACAGGGCTTGGTGGAAAGGGGTAAAAGAGTGGGAACAGCTATGAAGTCTAGATTTCACTGGTTCCATCGGACTGACTCTGCCTATGTACATGGCACTGTTCCACATACCGATCATACCACACACAAATATTGAGACCGTAAATAGCTAGTTTCTCATATCTTCATGACAATCACAGGTGACCGTATGTTTTTGCGAGGAGGAAAAAAAGGTGGCCTATATGCCCAGTGTACGATGAACAGGGTTGATGCATCAGCGACTCTTCGCAAGTGTGGCTATCTACATGCAGATATCCCAAGTAGCCCTGATGACTTATCAAGAGGGAAGGATCAAAGACAGATGTTCATAGCGGAAAGATGGACGAGGACGATAATTGTGAACAGAAGAAGTAAATGTATTTTATCAAGAAGAGGAACATTTCAGCTTGGTAGATGAGATAACCACTACTCGTCTTCTATTCGTAACACATATCACTGTCTACCCTCCCCCTCACTTCGTCGCCTCAACAACATTCTTCTCAACCCCCTTCACCGCCTCCCTCACAGCGGGCGCAAAATGCCACCTCAGAATCTCCCCCTCCCACACCGTCCCCGCAAAAGGGTTACTTCCCTCGATCTCCGGCTTCAGGGGATCAAACACGCCGTCGCCACGTCTCTCCTCCGTATTCCACAGCGGCGCCACCTTCTTACCGTGCGTCTTTGCAATGCGGTTCAGCAGGCCGAGCATGGCGACGCAGGATTTCTCAGGAAGGTGCATGGAAATGGTCATGAGTTGTTTTGCAAAGGCTGCGACACGCAGAGGGGGCACGGCGCGGATGGAAGTTGCAGGCAGTAAAACGGAAGAGAGAGAGCGGATTAAGAGGACGATGGTGGTTTGGACGTTGATCTTTGCTGTGTCGGCGTGCGAGGTGCCGGCGGTGGGATCGGCCAAATGAAGCGATTTGGAGCTGAGCTCGATGTCTGGGTTGAGTGCGACAGGGTGCAGGGTGCGGTAGAGGTGAGTGATGAAGTAGCTAAGGTCGAGTTTGAGGGCTGAGGCGGTTTTTGCGCCTTCTTGGCCTTCGAGGAGGGCAAAGGCGGTGATGACGCAGAGGAGGGATTCGCGCGTGAAGTTGCGCTCGGGGGCTTCGTTGTCGTCGTCTTCGGAGGCGTCGTCATCGTCGTCCATGGCGGCGGCTGCAGCTGTGAGTTCAGCGGTCGCGATGATGTCGCGTAGTGCTTCGAGAATGTCGCCGAAGAAGTCTTGGTTGATCAGGTGTGCGTATCGTGCTAGGCCTTCCAGCACGGCGCCCATGAGCTTTGCTGAGCGGGCCTTGAGGATTCGGAAGTATGCCACGAATACCATCTTGAGCGTCTCGGCTTGCATCCGATCACGCTCCTCGTGGCTAACAGCAGCATCAGCCTCCTTGAATTCTTTCTCAATAGCCTTCTTCTCTTTCAACTCCTTCCGCAGCCTCTTCGTCCTAAACTCGCGCTTCTGCTTCTGCTTCTTGCCATTGACCATTGGCTCCTCCGCCTTGTCTACAGAATGGTAAGAGGCCTTCTGCGCGAACTCGGAAAGCAAACGAAGATGCAGAAAAGTGTTCAGCACACTCTCATCAAAGTGATAGTTCCGACTCTTCATCATCTTGGTCAGCATGGTAACACCCTCTAACGAGACATTGCCATCCTCGTCGTTTTCAAACACCTTCTCCATAGCCTCTCTACACCGCACAAAGTCTGCATCGACTTTCCTCGTACTCAGCTTGCCAACCAGAATCTTGAGTAGCTCGCTGCGAAAGTTGAAGTGCGGTACTGAATTCAGCAGATTACACGCGCAACTCACAGCGACAGTAGCCAGACTAGCAACCTGCTCTTTATCCGATCCACTCGCCTTTGCCAGTTTCGCTAGATGCTTAACATAAGTCTCGTAACCTGACACGAGCTTCTGCTCGAATTGCCGCAGTTTCTTGACTTCCTTTGAGATCTTCTCCTGCATCTTCTCCTCGGACAGCGGCCGTATCCTGTATCCGGGGATGATGTCCTTGAAAATCGAGGCTTGCGTCGCTAGTGCCAATTTTTTGACCGTGAAGTTTTCCGAGTCGGCAAGCGCTTGTAATGTCTTCAATGCTCCAATGTGCTCCTCTGGATCCTCGTTGATCAGACTTGCTATCCGAGCAAGTTCCTCTTTCGCCTCTAGTATTTGTTGTCGCGCTGGTATCTTTGGTTTTTTCTCCTCCACCTCTTCTTCGTCGTCGGTGCCCTCATCTACCTCATCCTCGCTGCCCGATCCTAGAAAGCTGTCCGAGTCTTCCTCCTCCTTGATGTCCTCCACAGTCGGCTGCGGCGCTACCCAACCTTCTGCTGCCCTGACAGGCAATTTCTTGTTTTCCTTCTGCTTCTTCAATTTGCGCGGCCGCGTCTCGTAGTCCTGCTCCAAATCCCATTTCGCCGCATTCTTCAAGAACGTCGCCTTGTGATCAATCGTCGTTCCGTTACCGCGCTCTCCATCCTCGGGCGGCGACAATCTTCTTCGCTTGGCAGCCGGAACGCGGGACATGATGTGATGTATGCGAAACTAAAAAAAAGAACTCAGGACTGAGGAATGCCACCTGTGTTGGGTGGTGTCGCAGCAGCAAAGAAAGAGGAATGCGCATTGGAAATTTTGGCCGCGGCGGAGACTAGTCCCGCTTTTACGCTCCACATTTTTTTCCCGGGCAAAAGCACATCTCGACTTTGCGACCTTGCGCCAGAACCCAGCCAGTTCAGCAACAAGCTTCCCTCCAACCCAATTTACACCTGGGAAATACTATACATATACATTACAAATTTGCCCAAAATGAGGCCCCTCACCGAACCAGAAACAAAAACTCTCTTCGAGAAACTAGCTTCCTACTGCGGAAAAGGCATCACAAACCTCATCGCCGACCCAGCTGGCGGTAACGACCGCAACGTCTTCCGCGTCCAGGTAATCTTTCCCCCTTCCCCTTTACAAACCAAACCCCCTTCCCAACCTCAAATACTCATACAATCGCCAGGGCTCCCGTGTCTACTACGTCCGCGAATCTCTCGCCAACCTCGCCACAAGTGTCGCGCGCGACAACCTGCTCTCCCTGGGCATCTGCCTCGGAAAATTCACAAAAACCGGTAAATTCCGCCTCCACATCACGGCGCTGAGCGTCATTGCGCCGCACGCGCGCTATAAGGTGTGGGTCAAGCAGAATGGCGAGATGCCCTTCTTGTATGGCGGCAATGTACTCAAGGCGCATGTGGGGCGGTGGAGCGAGGATTGCCCGGAGCATCAGGGTGTCGTGGTGTTGAGTATGAATGATACGCCTTTGGTAAGTTTTGAGAAGAATTACGTTTTGTTAAACACTGTTTTGTTGTTTGTTGTTTTTGTGGAGAAAGAAGTTGGGCTAATAGAGATTTACTAGGGATTCGGTGTGAGTGCGAGGTCGACGGCTGATGCGAGGAAGTTGGATCCGACGGGTATTGTTACGTTTAGACAGGCGGATATCGGGGAGTACCTGCGAGAAGAAGATTCGCTGTTTACGACTTGAGTTGTCAGAGGGTAGAGGGAAGAAGCTTTTATTCTATGTGCTAGGAAGGTGGATTGGAGCGGAGGAAAGAGGAAAAACTGAACGCGCAATGAGGTTGAATGCCTGTGTCAAGGGAAACACCATGCAGCACGCGCAGAATCTGGAAAAAGTGCACAAGCAACGGGGTGGCTGGCTTGCTGCAAGAAGAACTCTACAAGAACAAATGAGATACCCTAAGTCCTTCCACCGTCACGCAGCGAACATGTAGATACGAAGCTCGCCTCTTTCCACATTCTAAAAGCACCTTGCCTTACAAAAAAACACCAAATCTTGTTTCTTCTATAAAAACGTCTTGATTCATACACTCTAGCTCCAGACTCGCTCTTGCTCGTCCGCCAATGATACTGATATACATGTGAGCTTTATAAAGTTGTTGATAGGCCGAATTGTTCAGCCCAAATCAAAAAAGAAACGAAAAAGGGTATATCGGTCTTTGATCCTTTTTTTTCTCTCTTCCTTTCTTCTTCTAGCCTCGAAGAAGGGTACGCAGAAAAAAAAGAGGATTGTCGGTTGGAGGAAAAGAAAACCAAAACCAAAAACTAATGCTGCAATCTGGTGTTGTACAGTTTAACCCGATTTCTCTTCGCGCTCTCAGCCTCTCAGAATGATTCTGCAGGAGGATAAAAAAAGAGAGGGCGTGTCAATATGCCAATCGTCCAATCATCCCAACTTCTCAAGGAGCTTCCTCCTCCTGCGCTCGACAAGCTCGTTATTGACCTCGTCGAGGGTAGGTACTCGCCATCGTACACCGTCGCCCGCGTCGCCTGGTAGTTCGATCCATTCTTTTTGCACTCTGCTCGCTTTCTCGTCCAGTTCATCGCCCAGTAACATGAAGTTGTCCCAGGCCTCGCGCTCCTTTGCTTTCTCGTATGCTAAGAGCGTGCCATCTTCCTCGTCCAGATTGTAGCCATAATAACCCGCATCCACCTTTTGCCTAAGCTCGCTCCTCTTTTCGCGTCCTTTGTCCATATCATCCTCTGGGCGACTCTGTCTTTCAAAGAGCTCCTTGACACCTGGCAACTCTTTGGCTCGCCCAAAATACCTGTACCCCTTGCCACCTCCAGGCACCTCACGCCCTTCCTCATCTAACACTCTTCCGCCTCGCATGTAGTTGGGCCCTCCTAACGACCTGATCTGGCTCTCCCACATGTGTTTCTCTCGCATAAGTTTGTTGATCTCATCGTTGAGATCGCGAATCTGGTAATCCGAGAGCGCCTCGTCCTGGATCTTTGTGACTTTGCGCGAGATCTCCTTGAGAACCTGGCCACGCCATTTTTCACACACGGGAATCGAGTTGACCGACGTGATGAGCTTGGGGCGGCGCGTGCGCGAAATGTCAATGATTCCCGCTTCGGCAGCCTGCGCCGCGCGAAAGCGGAACAGCATCGAATGTGCCTTTTCAGAGTTACGCGCCATGGTTGCGGTTGTGTGCTGATATCGTTTTTAATCGAAGGAAGTTTTGCCGTTGTCGTTGCGCGGCGTTGCTGTCGTCGTCGTCTCTGAAGTCGTGCGAGATGGTGTCGTGCGCTGGGTCGCGCTTTGGCGTGTTTGCGTAGGTGTGATTAGAGAGGTCAAAAGTGTATTATAGGTATACCGGAAGCTGCCCGCAGTTGCTGAAACGAAGGTGGAACAAGGAAATGGGATGCGCGATTGATTTTGTATGGTTGTAAAGGAGGGAATAGACGAATGGGCCTCGCGTCTGGCCAGGAGCGAAAGTTCGGTCTACTACTTCAGTTTAGCGGTGACGCAGATTCTTGGCATTTTGCCCCCCGGAGAATACCGTCTTTGCGACCTGCGTCCTGCATGAACATGATGCGAGCATGCCCGCTCGGGCGCCGTCACGCGCATCAAGAATAGTAAAGAATTAAAACGCCATCTCTCTCCACGTGGTCACGAGCCAGGGCACATGTTTCAATTTACGTCTTTCTTCATTGCCCCCCATCGTTCTAGCCATTCGCCGTCACAGTAGTTCTATCACCACCTATCAAGCATTATCCAACTCCGATATGCTGCTAGATCAAACATGCGAAACTTGACAACTCCAGAGTGAGGAGAGAATGAAGGGTCTAGTTACAAGCTATATGGAAACACGCCCCGACAAACACAGCGAAGTCGGAGCCTAGTGCGAAGGAGAAGCGTTAGGTCGTCTCAGTGTACAGCTCCATCCCCACTCAAGCACGCTGCGCAAATCGGACAGGCAATGCTTCACCGCCCAAAGCCATGCTCTAGGCTCCTGCAGCGACCACTCGAGGTTTATTTGTTGTTTGATGCGAATCCAGATCGAACTGTAACGTCCAAAAGCCGCAAAACGGACAGAGATAGACATAGGAAAAAGGGACCGACTCCCACGAGTTATACAGAATGCTAGGAAAATAAAGAATGTCAGTCAAATCATATGACTAGTGCAAGCTCGCAAAAGCGAACCGTGTAATGCTTAGGAATGGGTTATAGGTGGTGAATAGAGTTTTATGCACCAGCTGAGTAGTTTGCTGCCTCCATCTCGGTTTGGTGGCGGAGTTGTTCGTTGCGCATCTCTGTACGTGACTCGGTCCGAGACTCGGTGCGCGATTCTGTGCGCGACTCAGCTCGAGACTGAGCCCGCGAGCTCATGGAACCGAAGAGCGAAGGCCGCGAACTAGAGGCCTTGACGTATCGACCTCTGATCGAGTGTTGATGAAGATGTCCAACATCGTGTTTACCTTTGCAAACGTTAGCTCATATATCACGGTTGTATAGGAGGGGAGGCACTTACCATCACAGCACGCTCGAACATTGGGCATGAAGTCTTCATCTTGCTCCAAGTGCTCGTGGATATCGCGACTAAGCTCCAGGTGAGAAGCGCTTGGCTCTTCATACATTGTCGTCTCCGGCGCATTTGCCTTGCTGCTTCGCCGGCTGGAGAAAGATCCTCGCATGGCCGAGGCGCTTGGTCGGAGCATGCTAGTGAATCTACTCGCGACAGAGCCATGAGCCGGTGCCTCGGTTGAAAGTGCGCGTTGCTGAGAATAGTTTGATTGTCGGATCGTGGGTACTTGGCCAGGTTCGCGAGATGATGCGCGCCTAGTAGCGTACGACATCACTGAAGCTCTTGATCGACCGGTTTGGCGCGAGGAGCTTCTATATCCGCCGTTGAACTCGTCTTGAATTTCCTCAGCAGTTGTAGGCCTATGCTCTGACACTGGCGAAGACTTTTCTTCAACGTCTTCAACACGCTGGCACAAATAGTTCAGAGCATTAAACCAGGTCTCGTGTCTCTGACCCGTAGTCGCAGTAAACTTCATTGACCTGCCCGGCGTGATGACGAGTAAACTCTTTTGGTGGAGCCCGGGAGGGAGAGGGTTGGGGTCGTCGACCTCTTGGACAGATTCAATAGCTACACTCTTAGCTTTCAAGGTCGATTTATCGGCACTCTGAGGATCGCGGTCACTCCAGTACAAGGTCCTTGTGTAAGGATGGATCCAGAAGAAGCGTCGATGTCGGTTTTCAGACATGCCTTCACGGCCAGTCTTGCGGGTATACTTCCATAGGTACTCGCCAATCATGGTCTGAGTAATGGCTTGAATCATCCGCGGGTCTGTGGCACCGGCAGCTAGTCCACCTGGAGCAAACGATGGGCCTCCAGGTATATTGAAGCGTTGATCAATCTCCGAAGTGAACGAAGACAACGACGATCGGTGGCTGAGAGGCGAAGACGCGCCGCTTCGCTGCGACGGACGACGCACACGTGGAGTAGTACCGCCTGTCATGGGAGTGAGATTGCTGTTGCTTGTCTTGATGGTTGGCGTTTGCGGTCGTTTCTTGTAAGCTGAGGCAGGGAGTGAGGGCGGTCCCATTGATCCAGGAGACATGGGTCTGAGCGATGCAGCAGCGATGACTTCTTTGTGGTCCCGTGGTAGTGGGGGAGGCGTCTCCAGGCGCGAACGCACGCTTCCAGAGCTGCTAGGACGTTTTGGAGTTCGGAGAGGATCGGGTGTTGACTTCCTAGGTGATCCAGGAGATGAAAGGGTTTTCTCTGACCCTTCTACGACCGCCGTGCCGCTCCGTAATTGACTTCGAGCAAGGAGTAACTTGTCAATCTGCTCGGCAGATACCATAGTCTGAGTTCCTCCGTCAGTCATTTGTATTTGACTTTTCTTAACAGGAATATTGGCGCTTATGGGTGCAAGGGGTGCGCGTGTCTCTCGGCTATCATCCGATGAAGGAAGCATGTCGATTGAGGCATCCTTGCTCGTAGTTGGACTGGCAGCAAAGTAGTTGATCTTGGGCACTGATGGCTGCTTGTTCTCAGTCGTCTCAGTTTGACTAATGGTCGATAGTGAGAGAGGTGGAGTGTCCCTGTGTGCAGTCACAGGTCTTGACGGCACCACTGGTTCGATACCTTGAGTTGCAACAGATGACAAGCTCATGACAGGGGCTTGCTCTCTGTTCGCTGTGGATGGCCTGCTTGTGGGACTTGGGAGGAACGCTGGAAGCGTTGGCGACTCAGGCTGAGTATCGTGGATTGTTTGTACGTTGGACACGTTGAGGACAGATTCCAAAGGAAGAATTGGCGAGACGGGTTCTGTTTCGACAGTGTCAACGGTTGAGAGTTGCGATGGCGCATGCTGTGCCGGCTTGACAGGATCTGTGACTTGCGATTCTACGCTTGAGAGACCCATAGAAGCTGGTGTCTTTGGCGCCATTGGTTCGGTCGCCTTTGACAAGAGACCAGAGAAAGATGACAGAGCTGGTCTTGAAGGCTCCACAGGCTGTGATGTCTCGAAAGACAATGATGAAAGCTGCTGTGGAGCTGGCTTGGGCGTCTCGACAGGGTCCGTGGACTGGACCGAAAAGTTCGACAGCTGCATGTGCGGTAGTCGTGGTGCAACAGGCGCGGTAGCAGCGTGCGAGCAGATTTCAGAAAACTGTTGTCTCTCTCGGCTGGGCGTTCGCGGTTCTGTGGCTTGGGTCAACGTTGTCGAAAACGCTGAAAGTGGTGTGCGGGGCGCATCCTTGGGTGCGATTCCGTTAGACACCAGGGCTGATATCTGCAGAGGTGTCTGCTTGTGCGACGCATCTCTTGGCTCAGTTGCGTGAGCAGCCACCTTTGACAGTTGCAGCGACTGATGCTCTTGTGTTCGAGGTGCCTGCTGGGGTTGTACTGGGGCAGCCTCTCCAGAAGTCGATACGGACCTGAGAGCCTCAGCAACAAACTCGGTTCTGTCTACAGGCTCTGTTGACTGAGTTGATATGGCCGATCTCAACAGCTGTAATGGAGCTAGAAGCTTCGAGTTATTGGTTTCCTTTGGCTCAGTAGCCTGGTGGGATATGGAAGAAACGTCCAACGAAGCAACGACAGGCTCTCGCACGTGTGGTGAGACGGGCTCAGTGCCTTGAGATGAGAAATCTGACAGGGCAAGAGGTGGTGGAGTAGATTGTCGAGGCTCCGTACCCGCTGACGAAAAGCCGGACAGCCCAAGAGGTTGTGAAAGAGCATGTCGAGGCTCTGTACCCTCAGAAGAGAAGTCTGACAATCCGAGAGGCTGTAGAGGAGCATGTCGGGGCTCCGTGGCCTGAGACGAGAAACTCGACAGGCCAAGAGGCGCTGGAAGAGCATGTCGAGGCTCTGTTGTGTGGGCAGACACCGATGACATGTTCAAAGGTGTGATGGGTGCAGCACGTGGTGAAGTGTCTAGCGAACGCAAAGAAGAATATGCTGACAATGGTACCAAGGGAGCTTGCGGCTCGGTCCCTTGGGCAGACAAGGAGGATACAGCCAACTGAGGCAGCTGTGGTGCACGAGGACTGGTTGCGTTTCCAGAAACGCTAGAGAGACGAAGCGTTGGTGGAAGCACCTGATTTGGCTCTGTACCTTGCGAAGAAACTGAAGACACTTGGAGGTCTTGTGGGCGCGGGGCCTGCGGGTTTGTGTCGTTTGAACGCAAAGAAGACAACTGAAGGACCGGCATGCGGATGGCCTGTGGTTGAGTATCCTGACTAGAAATTGAGGAAATGGTGATGGGCTCAGGGATATCTCGTTCGGTCATGGTACCAGAGTCTACCATAAGTGGCCTGGGCATAGCAGTGATGGTCCTTCGCAGTGCATCCGTTGACGACTGACGCGAGTGTATAATACTAGAGCGGCTTGGCGTGCCTTCGACAGTACCTTCAACAGAGCTCCCGTCATCGTCACTCAAGTCATTCAGCTCCGCAAACAGACTCTTGCCTTGAGCAGGCGTATTCTCGTTGCTACTGCTGATGTAGCTTGCAGGAGAATCCCTAGATGCAGGAGGTGTACTAGCGAACAAGCCCGAGCCGATCTTGGGTGTTGACTTGGGTGTTGACCTGCGAGAACTGCTTGGCCTCAATCGGATACGAGAATTTTGATGGTGCAAAGGTGTCCTGAAATCCGGCTCACTGAAGTCATCGCCAGACGTAGATGCCGTGCTCTGGTAGGAGGCAGCACGACCCCGACTTGAGAGCGAGGGTCGACTACGACGCTCGCTCAGCTTAGGAGGCCTGGCCTCAGTTTCGGTTAACTGATCACTGCTGTCTCCATCAAGTGTCTCTGCCCCTGTTTGGAAAGCGTCCGACTCGGTTGCCATGCCGTCACGTTCGTTTGCAGTCTCGAAAGCAGCATCCGATGTCTCGTTAGCGGTCTCAAACCCTTCGAACGCGCTTGTCTCTGTGGCAGATTTGTTTCCGCTGGAGAAGATTCGAGATGTAGAGACAGAGAGGTGCGGTTGTCGACTAGGTGTAGCTGGCATGCCTTCCTCCTCTTCCCACTCGTCATCCTCAATGATCTCCTGGGTGCCACTACGCAGAGCGCCAAGTCGATCTGGTCGAGGAGGCTTCTTAAAGATGTCCTTTTCGCTTCTCCTTCTCTTGCTAGCGCTGCCAGGTGCAACTTGAGCGCGGGCTGTGTCCAATTCATCACGGGTATCTTGCAACACTCGCTTGAGCTCGATCTTCTCGGTCTTTTCACGGTGAATGTTGTTCTTGAGTTGCTGGATCATACGGTGGGCGTGTTGAAGGGAGTGCTTCAATGTCTCGGTCTCGAGCATGCCGTGGCGGGGAGTAGCCTTGCTCGGTGAGGGAGCAGGCGAGTGCTCTGGAGTTCCCGATTGTCGTTCCACAAAGCTGTCGTCTTGCGAGGAATCTTCAGAGCGACCACGCTCTTCGGACCTTGCACGCCAGGCAATCGCTTGTGCGAGCTGCTGGTTCTTGGCTGTGAGCTCCTCCATTTTACGCTGCATTGCACCCTTTTCGGTCTCGGTCATGGCCACATTGCGGCGAAGAATGGAAAGTTCTGTCTCGTGCTGCTTGATCTTGTTGATGTGGTCGTCATTGAGCTTTGTGTACATCTGCTTCAACTCCTCCAGTTCCCTTTCCAAGGTTGACCTTTCTGTGCGTGCGAGATCCAATGCATGGTTGAGGCGGTGCTCCTTGTCTGCCGCTGACTTGGACTGTACCTCAGACTCACGAATTTGTGTTTCAAGACTCCAGTTGACATCCTTTAGCCGCGACTCACTCTCGTCCAGGGTTCGTAAGCGCTGCGACAAGCCCTCGACCTCGATTTCGAGTTGGGACCTATCCAGGTCGGCTGCCTTGAGGGCCTCATCCTTCTCAAGTAGAACAGCCTGGAGCTCCTTGAGCTGGGAAAGCAGAGACGTCGAGATTTCGGTTGCTAGCGCGATATCGTTGATGCGACTGGGCGGTTGGTTCTTCTGCTTCCGCGACGGAACGCTGACTTTGGTAGGCGACTGGAGGGCTTCGCTCGAGTAGACTGAGCCGCCGGTTGCAGCGTCAGTCTCTCCGCTCGGAACGCGGGATTTGGGGAGGAAGACGCGAGCCGTCTCCCGTCCGACCTCGTTAAACTCCTTCTCCAGCTCAGTCAGCCTGTGGCGCAGATCCTCGCCAATATCATTCTCCTCTTGCTGCTGTTCCACTTCCTGCAGCCTGTCTTCGAGTTCCTTCCGCTGTTGGACAAGAGCATTGCCGAGGTGGGATGTCTCCTGCAGCCTGCGAGTTGTCTCTGCCAAGTGTGCTTCGAGAGCGCGCTTGGCTTGGGCAGGCGATCCGTTTACGTAAAGGGAGAACTGCGAATTGTCGAAGGCCGAGTATCGCCTCTGGCCATCCTGCGGGGGCGCGAGAAAGGGATCTGCTCCATTGAGGTGCTCCACCGGCAAGGCGCCCGGCGGAGGGTTTGCTGCGGTCATTAGTAGTCGCGAAGGCCCGGTTTCCTATTGTCCCATTGCCCAGGGGGGAAGTGTTGGGGTAACGACGCGTAGGGAATAAGTTTTTTTATGTAGTTTTTAGATAATGGAGTAGAGGTTGTGGAAAAAGGTATAATTAAGGAGCAGACAAGGGACGTGGATCCGGCGACGAGTGGCGGCAGCGGTGGTGATGGTGTGCTGGAGACGAGAGCGACAGGGAGCGTCACTTGGTCGAGGCGAGGTCGGAATGCACAAAGGGCTTGGTCGAGGGCGACGCGCACAAAGCCGACTCGAGACACGGCTGCGGCTGCTGGCACTGGATCGCGTTTCGGTCACACTATAGAAAAGAAGCAAATGCGCATCGCTGGGCGCAGCGACGGCGAAGGGTAACGAAAAAAGAAACAAGGGAATGCCGAACGGGCTGGAGGGGCGACGGAGGCGACAAAGGCGACAGAGGAGTGAGGTTCAGCAGAGGCGGAGGGTGTGGTGTGTCGACGAGCGAAATGAAGCGGCCGTGCACGTCAGGGCAGGCTATGGCGAACGAGGCAGCGCGGCATCCACAGCATCAACAGCGCTAGCGGCAGAGGGCAGTAGTAGCTGAGGCCTCTCCACCCTCGCCCAGGCACATGCATGTGTATATCCATCCAACTGCAGCAGAGCACACCGAGTCCCCACCGCTGCTGTGCGGCTCCCCCTGGCACGGCAGCCATTCACAGGCGGCACAGACAGGTGTTTACATGTATCCAGCCATCCATTCACCAGTTCCCCTTGGCCTCTGCTCGGACTCCGCTGGCACCACCTGCGTCACAATACGCACCCCCCATTTACTTACTTAACTACTTACATACCCCACGACTGCGGCGGCCTCTTCTCCCGCAGTAGGGGTACCGTGGCATGCCAGATAGGGGTTGCCGAATCTCCGCCTCGGTGCGCGCATAATGCAATCGTGGCCTGTGTAAATATCTAGCACGTTCATGTATATACTACTACTACTACTACTACTACCTCATGTATTTGCAATACACACATGCGCCCCTTTGCACGCGAGGCTGGCAGCCCCGATCCGAGTCCCAATGATGCGGCATCCCAGGACTGATTATGGTTAGTCAGTGGGTAACTATGCACTCGGAGGCTTCACCATCACCACACCTGCCTATCCACTACCTACAAACTATGTGCGCCAAACGTCCCGCGCTCAAGCCGACTCATCAACTCGGTCGGATCAGCATCATGGTGAGCGCATCTCCACGTGATTGGCCTAGCGGTCACATGGCTGGTCAAGTCCGGCCTGGGTATGCCCGGACTATCTCCCGCTCGCCTCCCGGCTCCTGCTACCTGCGCCACTACCCCAGATCCCGTCACGTGATTCTCGATTTCTCAGCCACAGCCTGCCTCTGACTTTCTCTGCTCACCTCGCCGCTCACCTTGCACACCCATTGCACACCCAGCCACACCCCTACCCACCTCCACAATCGCCATGGATGCGCCCGTCGTCAAGTTCAAGAAACGAGGAGCCAAGGCCGCGCCTCGCAAAGTCGCGCCTCCGCCACCGCAGTCTGATTCAGACTTCTCATCCGGTTCCGACGCAGAAGGCGACGACGGCCGTGTAGTGAAGCGGCGAAAGGTCAACGACAACGCCCTCAAAGCTTCTACCGCAGACCAGAAGACGAACACGTCCATTGAAGGCACAACACAATACGCCGCCAACACCTCTGCGGTAATCGAAGCAAGCAACGATGCGACAAAGCAGTCCAACTGGTACGAGGAAAAGACCGACGATGCTCTCAGCTCCAAGAACCTGTTGGGCAGTACGCGCGCGAAGCCCTCTTCGCTCATCGAAAAGAACCCCGACGCGCCGACGCGCCAAGTAGGGCCTGTCAAAGCATCCACCAACATTCGAACAATCACGGTTACCGACTACACGCCAGATGTGTGCAAGGACTACAAGCAGACGGGTTTCTGTGGTTTTGGCGACAATTGCAAGTTTCTGCACGCTCGTGAAGACTACGCAGCAGGCTGGAAGCTTGATCGCGAGTGGGAAATGTCCACTAAGGGCAAGAAGCCTAGTGGCACCGTTGTCGCGTCGGCCAACCGTGACGCCCAAGAAAAAGACGAAGACGGCATCGACCTGGCGCTTTTGGAAAAGATACCGTTCGCCTGCATCATCTGCAAAAAACCGTACAAGACGCCTATCATCACAAAGTGTGGACACTACTTCTGCGAAGCATGCGCTTTGAAGCGATATCGAAAGGACCCGACATGTGCAGCGTGCAGTGCAAAGACATATGGAGTCTTTAACGGGGCAAAGAACCTACAAAAGCTTCTAGAGAAGAAACAGAAGTGGGAAGACAAGAAGAAGGCCGAGGCGGAAGAGAAGGCAAAGGAGGAGGAAGGCGGCGACTGAGTACGTGGTGGACGAGAATAGAGCAGGAGAAGGTGAATGCCAAAGAGTCAGGTGCGGCACGGTGCGGCGGTGGAGCTGCCATTCTGACCTGAGCCTCGGCTTGCCTGTCTAGTGTACCGGTGGTACTTTCCGCTTCCAACGCCACAGAGTTCGTTGGTCACGCCGTGGTGAGCAACGGCGCTGCTTTTAGTCCATGTCAACGAACCAAGCAATGCCGCCAGCGTTGGCTTCAGGGTGTTTCAAGCTATGCACTAGTGGTGGAGAACACCGACTGTTCGATCCACGCGTAGTACAGCTAAGCACATGGTTCGCGCATCGATCGAATATAGGCATAGCGATATTGTCGAGAGCATATCGTCAGAGGCACGGGAAACAGGCGTTGAGACACCCTATCACTGGTCCAGGAGGACGTATGTATATATGTGTATTATGTAGAGCGCGCTCAACAGGTCAGACGCGAATAGCTATTCGACTACAAAGTTCCAACAAAGTTCAGACATTGTTCCCAACAAGAGGTCTAGCATCCAATCATGCAGTGTCTCTCTATCCTCCCCGCACTTATCACAGCCACTGCTGCAGATAACTCATTGCGAGCATGTGAAGTGGGTCTAGACACATGGCTTGTCTCTCCGCTGAAGTGGGTTCCCTCTGCTTGTCAGCACTGGTGCATTTGTGTAAACCGAATATCGGGAACACCAAGCAGGGCCTCGAGAGATCTGGCAAACCAGAGTTCAGAGGCCGGAGAGATTGATCGGTGTAAATGGGAGTAACTTGGCTTGGGGGATAACCGGATGAGGAAAGCCATGCACGCTTGACATGCTAGTGCACAGGGGGGCGCATACACAAGGCGTCGGTAGCGACCATGGCGGATTCCCGGCCTGCCCTGACGCGAGCAGACCTGTGTATAGGTATTTGGATATACGGACAGGCTGTTGCAGGCACTCGTTGCGTAGCAGCAGCAGGGCGTGTGGGTTGGGGTGGTGAAGGGCGTCAGCACAAAGGCTACAGTCCTTCTAGAAGCGTTGATCTCTGCGCGTTTGGGCGAGGTGCCCCACCGCACTATGCCTCGTATGAGGTCTGGCGGCTGTTCGATAATTAGTAGAAAGCGTTCAGTTTCCAACTTGGGCCCCCTCATGACACCGCGCGACAACAGAGATTTTGCCGTTTTCCCTGCCGGCGCCAGCTGAAGCACGCAATTGACTGCCGCCGCCGCCGCCGCCGCTGCTGCTGGCTGTGCCACCCTCTGCTGGTCAGTTGCCCATTGCCCGTTGCCTGGGGGTAAGATCAGTCCAAGGTACGGTATAGCCGTTGAGCCCTGTGACCGCCTGGACCCGGCCAATCGCCGCTAGGCGAATGCGTCACTCGCCGACACAAGGTATGCCATTCCCACTGCCAAATGCGACAATGGACCGCCTGTGCTGCCTCTGCCCCCAGGCAATGCCTCCCACTGACACTGACACTGCCCAGGTGCAGACGATCCAGTGTCGCCAAAGCCTGCTACACGCTCAAGGCTGCAAATCCTGCCCACCGCACGCCCAAAGCGGAATCTCCCGGCCGATCAGAAGACTCCCTCGTCCACCGCCCAGTCCATGCTTCTTCAATCCGACCCGAGCCTGGCCGAGGTTCCAGGCTTCACCAAGGAGCAATTGGACACCATCGCCCGCAGCGTCGAGCTCAGAAGGCAGCAGCTGCAGCAGGACATCAACGACTATATCAAGTCAAAGCAGGACGAACTGCGCGACTATGGCCACCAGGTATGTCCTTGACTATTAATACCACCACTACGCCTTTGCCTTTGCCTTTCCTTTTTTTTCCTTTCCGCCGGCGGCTTTTCCACTGTTTCGCGCCCTGTCCATGTTTGTCAGAGTGCTGTTGAGGACTGATTCCGGCCTAGCTTATAGACCAGTACCGCTCAATGCAATGCCCTCAGCAATTAAGTTCTGCCCAGAAAACTTGTGCGAGTAATGCTGAGGACACTGCTCCCTCATCAGCACCGCAGGAGCCCTCTGTGCACTCGCCGCCCCACGCAAAGGCGCCCGAGCCCGAGGAAAGAACTAAGCAAAAGAAGCACACAAAGGTGCACAAGAGAGAGCAGGAGCTCTACGGTTTAGTCACGCCCGTCTTTCTGCCACTGCTCGACGCACGCGACAGTTCGCCAGAGAAGAGAAAGAGACCGACGCCAAAGCCAGACACTGCCTACGGCGCAAACAGCGTAGCAGGCACGCCCGTGGCAGGAGCGTCAAGAGATGCTGAGCAGAGTAAAGAAGGCCGGAAGCAGAGGAAGGACAACAAGGACATGGAGAACCCAGCCTTGGGCATGCTGACGAGGGAGAAGCAGCCAACCGAAGCAGCCAAGAAGTCCAAACGCTCGACAATGAAGAAGTCGGCACTGCGACACAAAGACAAGGCCAAAACACCGCGCAAGAGAGTCAGTCTAGTCATTGATGGCCAGACGGTCCATCCCTCGGACACTGTCGACGAGCCATTGCTCACCTCGCCCAGCAGCGAAACAACATCAGCCTCCAATTCCATTGCCTCGCTTGACGACATGATTGATCCGCGCCTTACATCGGAGAATCCAGTTTACATTGAGAACCAGGATGCCGTACACCACAGCCTTCCCCTCCCAATGGCCAACGCCATCCGGTCCGCCAACAAGGCCTTGACAGAGTCTCAGACGCCAACACCCGTAGCCATTGCAACCGAGCACTCGCCACCGCTTCATTCGCCACGCTCACCAAGCATACCCTTTGGGACCGCACAAACCGCATCGCGCACCTTCCTCGACCCTTCGCCTACTCAACCGCCCCACTCAATCCCCGAAACCGCTGGTCCCAATCCAATCTTCCCCAACTCAGCAGTCGCAACCACGGAGCTCGAAAGCGATGGCATTGCAGATCAAGACCAAGATTTCGACACCTATGTCGGCGGTCTGCACGGCTCAGGCGTCGCCGATGTGGATCAAGCAGGCAGCTATGGCTACCCGAGCAGCCTCGGCGCAAGCTACATGGAAAGCTACATGCAGAACCGCCCGTTGCGTGTGCGCATGGAAGCAGCGAGTAAAGCGGGTCTCAGCGAAGCGGAAAAGAGAAGGTTGCTAGAGGAACGGGTTGAAGAAGAGGAAGACGAGCATGGTGATCACCACGACGACGATATCGACGATGACGACGAAGAAATGTTTGAGCACGATGATGTCCCACATGCGAGACACCGCGGCCGCGATACCGGCGATGTGGATAGCTTCATGGGTGATATGGACGACTTTTGACATGTGACAAGCTTTTTTTTTCTCGGCATTAAATCCCCTACTATGACTTTTCTTAACTCCCCCCGTTTTTAAAGTAGTTTTTTTAGGTGAGGGGGAGGGCCACACAGTTCGGGTTGGCGCCTTATCACGAGGCGCACATTCCAGGCTTACGAGGACCTCGGTGTCCGATTTTCCTCCCGATGAAATGGTTCTTGCTTGCTCCGTCATGTGCCTGCAGATGAAATATTACATGAGAAAATCAGACACATGTGAAGAGAGGGGTTAGCTACGTGGGTCTTTCGGGGGAGATAGGGAAACTGGCTTTGTATCTTTTTTTTGGAATCTTCCGGGGCTAGCTTGATGATGATGCGACTAGCTTAGCTATGGATATGGGTCTTTTTTGTAAATATGGGCGGCTTTTTTGAGTTTTTGATTTTGAACTTGTTTCTTTCTTCCTTTTCTTTTTTTCCAAGGGAAAGAGAACTTTTGTATAGTAGATGTTGTTGTTCACGCAAATATACGTATATATGCCCTATGATGGAAACACATGAAATTCACCTCATTCCCTATGTGGGACTCTGTTTCCTAATTGTTCCTTCTCTTCTCTTATGATATATTACGTATGTACACTTATTACTACGATCCCATCTTCGTACCATCGATTCTCAATCTCGCTTGCTCACCTGCTGCACCCGATTCACCACTCTATCCAGTAAACTCACCATTTCGTCGCTGACAAAGCGTGGATCGTCTCTTTGGATAAAGTGGCCGCAGCGGACCGCGGTAATGGGGCCAATGGCCTTGCCTTCCTCGGTGATGCGGCATAGCTCCTCGTTGTAGCGGCGCCATGCCGGGTTCGCATACGCCATTGTGAGGGCTTTGGGAGCGTTGAGGGGAGGGTTGGCTGTTATGATTTTAAGATTAGCCTGTATAACAGACATGTGATGGGGGTGGAAAACATACAAGACTGCTCAGCAAACGTCTCCCAATCATGACCCACAACCGTCAAATAAGGGCCTCGACCCAGATACCCCTCTAGTTTCGGGGCCCCAGCATCCGGCAGCAGTTTAGCCAGGTTCCTGCGTGAAAGACCCTCGGGACTCGGTGCCTCCGGGTGAAACATGCTCCTGTACTTTTCCCTCATAGCGCGGACCTGATCGGCTGTCACGTCGTCAGGGAGCATGTGGGGATCAAAGTCTGGAGCATCTGGGTCTGGCCAGAACTCCTGGTAGTCGGAATTCGCAATTATGCTGTCGAGAAAGAGGAGGCCAGAAACGGTGCCTGGGTAGCATTGGGCGAACAGGCGGGCAAGGGCGCAGCCTAGACTGTTGCAGACAAAGATCAGACAGGGGTAGTGGGTTGGCTTGTTGATATCGAGGTGTTCGCGCCAAATTTGTAGGGTAAATTGCTTGAGCGCTTTGACGGCTGAAATGGCGTCATGGCCGTGTGAGGGCGGGGGGTGAGGGTCGTCGGGGTCTGGGTCAGACTCCCCTTGACCATATCGATCGTAGCTTAGTAACCCTGGATACGGTAGTCGGCCTGTGATTCGTTTTTCCAGGAAGCTGCGTATTGCAGCGTCCCAGGAGCTTCGTGGCATCATGGCCCCGTTGAGGAAGACGACAAGCGTCTGGGAAAACGGGTTGGGGTGATTGCCCTGCGGCTTTGAGGCAGGGTAATATGTGTAATGTATCTGTGCGCCAGGTTTAGTATCGAGGGCCAGTGAAGATACCTCCGGCTCCGGAAACGGGGGAAGGTCATCATCTTCCGTGGTCTCCATGCCTCCGGGAAATGGTGTTGGGTAGCTGCGGGTGCTCATGGTGCTGTGTCTCCTTGCGGTGTTGAGAGGGTCCGCTTGCGACAAATTGGTCCCCGGGGAATTGGCCTGGCTCAAGAAGGTGACGCTGGCCTTGGTGCTGTCACGTCCTTTTTCTGCAGCGGCATTTCTATCTCTTTCTTGCTTGGATAGGCCAGCATATTTGAGATGTGGTGGGATATATGGGAAAGCATCCATGGCTGGTCCTAGCTGGCGCGGCTGGGAGTGATAACGACGGTCAACACATGCGTGGGTGTGGCTAGTCCTCCGGATTAGGAAAGCGCACAATCTGGGGCAGTTGGAGAACGCGGGAGATGTCGGAAAGTAAAACTGCCGTACCCAAGCAGGTGGGCTGGAGATGGTTGAAACCAGGGTAGGCAAAGCAGCTTGCTGCGTTCTAGACGTCTACCTTTGGGTTGTGATGTTTTTTTTTTTCAAGAAGACGGGTTACCCCTCTTCAGCCCCGCGACCGAGAACGGATGGATGGCAGGTTTTGGGACTTGGGCCTCTTGATGACGAAGTGCCAATACCGTCTCACGTGCAGGAGTCTAAGTGTTATCGTGCCGCCAAGAACTGGGGATTCCAAAGCCGGAGCGGTCTCGAGTTGCTGGGGGCCGGGGGGATCTGGGAGGGGAGAGGCTGCGAGGTTGGGCCGGGCATGATGATATCGGGGCCCAGCTCAGCCAAGAAGGGCCTCATGGTGATTGACTGGCTAGCGGGCGGACTGCACCAGCTCGCAAGCCACGTTTTGGGGGTGGCTTGGGAGGGGGAGTGTTTGGCGGATGCGGATGCGGATGTGGATGCAGGAAACATGCAGCAGCAACAGGACAAAGCCGGGCCCCTGGGGATGGGGGAATTTGGGAGAGGGGGGGGATGGAGGGGAATGCAAATGCACGCCGCAGCCGCAGTCGTGGTTGCTGGGGCGGGTACGGGCGATGCACCACACACAAAGCACCACGCAGCGCCAGGCACGAGCGCGGCTATGACGTGTGACATGGGTCGTTGCTGGATGCACGTCGCGATGCAACCACACGCCTGCGTTTCGCTTTGGGGCACACTTGATCCACCCACCACACCACGCTTACTCGTGCCCGTTTTTGAATTTAATTAAGCCAGAGCAGGGCGCCCTCAGCCTGGGCTGCCGCCATTCCTCCTCTGCTCTCGCCAACACTACATATCTGCATCTCTGCATATCTCTCCGGCCACCACGCACGTCACGCACCCCTAGGTTGGTCACTAGGCCCTCTAGAAGACGCAGAAGCCAGCTAACCGCCTTCTAGCGTTGCAGTAACCTCACCATGACATACACCCATGCAGAAACCCAGACCGTATGGGCGGGCCTCACCAAGATGGACATTCCTCGTCCTGACCTTCTCTTCACTGCCCCAGACACCACCACTCCTCCCGCCGAGCTTATTCCAGACAAGCAACACGACATGGCCGCCATTACAGCCCCTAACCCACTGGGCTCCCTCGATGCCCACGCTACATCCTTCGGAGGATTGCTCCAAAAGCGGCAGAAACGCCCAGAACTCCCAACACGCATTTCTCTACCCAACTCGGAGCTAGACGACGAGGTCCTGCCCTCCCCGCCGCCCACACACGCTATCCTCTCCCCGCTACCCGAGGCAAACAAGCTGCATGCCGGCCACACTCCACTGATCCCCCGCGCTCTCTCCCCAGTCCACTCCGACAAAGAGCCCGCCGCCCCTGAAGAAGCGCCTGCCACAGAGTACTACGAGCCGGAGCCAAGCATGCAAGCAGACGACCAGCCCCTCATCGGGCCCCTCATGCTGCCCACGAACCCTGTGGAAGGTGCAAGTGACCACATTGCCCTCGACGTACTCGACGACGTACTCGAAAAGGTGGCAAAGGACCAAGACAGATTCAGCAGGCTCAAGGATGCACCCGAGCCCGAGGTCGTACCAGATCCCCCCACTGCACCACCTGCAGCAGATGCAGACCCAGGTCTACCGCTAAGCCGAAACACATCATCCGACTCGCGCAAGTCGAGTAATAACAATACAGAAGTCGTCGACGGCGTCAGACTGAAGACTCCTCCTTTGAATTTTGGAGTCCCTATAGGACAAGTATAAGTCCATTGTTGTTTCAACAGGGTCGTGAACATCTCAGGATATATTTCCCAACGAGATTTTCTCTCTTATTTTCATTTCGCATTTTTTGGACATTTTGGAACTTATAACCTGGACAACGGGGAATATCATGGCATCAAATTGGGTGTGGGTTGGGGGGTTGAGGGGAGGGATGCGTTTTGAATAAACACCAAAACAAAAGGAAGGAAGAAAGGCACACTTCTGAAGAAGAAAAGAAGAAGACAGACGGTGGAATATGAAGAAAGCAAAAAAAAAAAAGAGATGCGATACCCAAAAAATTTATTTCCCATGTATGGCCCACCAGGAGGCACCCGTCATCCATATCCAGAGCCCATTGTAAAAAGGCTACATATACTTTACTAGCCTTGAGCGCTATGCAAAAGGACAACAATAGAATATCAAGCCATGATTTAGTTAGACATGCTTTCTGTCTCAAAAAAAAAAGAGCCCACTATCGACCTGCGTCACACAATGGCATGGTGGAAACGAGGTGGGGACTGAAACACATCCATTTCAATGCTTTGATGGCGTCTAGCCCTGGTCATTATACACATGCTATTCGTCACACCAATTCCTTTTTTTCTAGTCATCCTGGTCCCAGTTGCCCTGCTGTGCCTTGCCCGGCATCTTGGGCCCACCAGCCTGCTTGGCCACAATGATCTGGTCCACGCTCAGCACCGTCCTTGCTGCCTCCGTCGCCAGCTTGATGGCCCACATCTTGCTGACCCACAGGTCCAGAATGCCCTCGGCCTTGGCATCAAGCGTGCCCGTCTCGTCGTTGTTCTCAATGTCCACACCCACCGTCCACTCGTCGTCTTTGCGGTTCTTCTGTGCTGCGTGTGCGACGTACAGCTTGGCCAGCACTTCGGTTGCGTCCAGACCAGCTGACTCGGCGAGCGTGCGCGGAATAACCTCGAATGCCTCGGCATATTTGCGGATCGAGTACTGGGCCAGGCCTGGTGTCTTGTCTGCAATAGCCTTGACTCTCTCGACCAACTGCATCTCAGTTGCTCCAGCACCGGGTACTAACCGTGCGTCGCGGGTAATGGCTTTGACTACGTTGACACCGTCGTCAATCGCTCGCTCTACATCGTCGAGGTGGTTCTGAGTGGCACCGCGAAGTACCAGAGTGGCAGTCCGTGTCTGTTCGTTCTCTTGCCTGAAGACAGTGACACGGTCACCACCAATCTCCAGTGTCTCGACCACATCAATGCTGCCCATCTCATCCGGCATGGGTGCACCGAGACGGGCGAGCGGTGTGGCTCCAACCACCCTGCACAACCGTCGCAGCTCGAACTTAGAGAGAATCTTGATGACCAGGATGTTGTAGCGGTTCAGGTAGTGCATGGCCAATTCGCCAATTGTCGATCCAGCAACAACCACCCTCAGGCCAGAGTCGTGGAGCTCCTTGATAGCCTGCTCTACTTGTTGCTCCTCGCCCTTTGTGAACTCCATCATTTCCTTTGCGTTGTGTAGCAGTACCGTGCCCTTGGTCTCGGTTTGCGAAATATCGATTGGGCACGAGAAGACTCCGACCTTGGCCTTGGTTGCCTTTTGCACAGTACCATCGGGCTGTCTTGCGAAGACCATGCCCTTGACCACCTTGCTCTGCTCCAGAGCTCCACCCATGATCTTGACCACGCGGACGTTGTCGACATTGAAGTTTACGGGGTTCTTGGGGAGGACGGCGAGAACGGCTTCGGCGACGAGGTCAGCGAGGAAGTCTTCGCTGCCAGACTGTTTAGCGGCAACAACGGTGCGGATGGCCTTGCTCAGTTGCTCTTGTGACCGGATGTCCTCGACCTTGTCGCATACGAGCTCTGAATTGAATCAGCTTTGTAAGTATCGGGAATGTCTGCAGGAACACACACCTTCAAGTGTTTGAAGAGCGGCAAGTTGTGCCTTCTCGTAGCCCAAGACAATGTCACTTGTCTTGAGACCCATCCTGATCAGCTCCTCAGCTTTCTTCAATAGCTCACCAGCCAGTATAATGACAAAGTTTGTGGCATCGCCCATCTCTGCCTCCTGCTGCTGGCTGGCCATGACCAGGAGCTTGGCTGCCGGGTGTACAACCTCGAGTTCACGCAGTATTGTTGCCGCATCTGAGGTGAGGATCATCTTCTGGAGGTGGTTGATGACAATCTTGTTGCGGCCATATGGTCCGAGAGATGTCTGGACCGTCTGGGCAATCGTCCGGCAGGCATCGATGTTGCGGATGACGGCTCCATCTTCGGCGTCGTAGCTGTTGCGGGGTGGTTAGTTGAGTGTTTACAGTGATTGCGGGGTTGTGCAAAAGCATACTTTTGATAGCCTTGCTTGAAGAGGCCGGCATTGGGGGCGTTTGGTATCGAGAGAGACATTTCGGCGGTATATGAGGGGTATCTTGATTGTGGTGGTTACCTGACCCAAAGGTCTGCGCGGCGAGAACGCGTCCAGTCCCAAATTTCGATGCCAAGACTTGGGGATCGGGGGAAGAAATGACCGACAATTCACGACATGGACAACTGTCAGGGTTGCAGTTTGGACATGGATTTACATGGACCTTCTATGGCTCAGATGCAGCAGACAAGATGCCGTCACTTCTGATTATTCTGGGGCCTGGCTTCGCATCGGAGGGCAGGGCAGATGCCGTTATTCCCTCTATCATGGGCGACAGGCAGTACTTCAGTACGTAGACCACAAGCAAAGCTCACGCACAAGTAGACGACTGGCTACGGAGAAGCAGTCCATGTCTTTTCTTCACGGACAAAATAACCGTCCATCTCAGGCGCGTAATCATCACGTCTTGGAGGGCATGCAAGAATGTGAGCAATGACTATCTAACTGTACTCTGGAGAGTTTGTAAGGGTACCGCTAGCGAATTTAGATTGCTCGACTTCCTCTGGGCACCATAATAATGGCCAACATCTCATGAGAGTGCGAGTATGCTGGAGATAAGGAAAAGTGCCGTGAAGAAGAAACGATGGCGCCCGCGCGCAAAGAAAAGTTATTCGCATAGCTGCTTAGGTAATGCCGAGCTAGGCCCAAAGCACTTCCGCTCCCCGAACTTTTCCAACGTCTGGAGATGGCTGCGCCAGCATCGTAATTCGGCCACGGCCTTGGGGAGATATGAACACCGGACAGCAGGCGACTAGGCGTCTGGCCTCGAGAGCCGGTATGAAACGCAATTGGCATTGGGCGCATCCTGGTTGCTGACGAACAAAGGCCCCTCGATATGTCGCTCATGTAGAGACACAATCACCCGTACCTACGCATCCGCCGCTGCAGCTGTACAGACCCCGGACCAAACCACTCAGCATGTTCCCCCGGTTGCTCAAGCATCTCCTTCAACCGCATACGCTGTCAATGCCGGTGTCGTCCTGTCCCGCCCCCCGCAAATAACACGCGACCTGCATCCATTCGAGTCCGCCTTTTTTCTCTACCAAAAACGTCTGAATGAACGACTCGCACTCCCCTTTACACGATACTTCTACGTCAAGAAGCGAACCCCGGCCGATCTAGAATGGAAACGGAAGATGAAGCAACGGCTGACCCCCGCCCGTGATATCGGACGGTACAAGGGTTACGGAGACGAGGCCTGGAATGATGAATTGCTTGTTGGAGCACCTGAGAGTGATTTCGAACATCAGGTTGGAAAACTGCTAGAGGACGCTGAGCAGTCTGGTCTGGAAGATGCACCAGACACCACTGGCGCAAACAAGATGGAGCGTGAGCCTATAGAGAGGCCAATGCCGAGAGTGACAGAGGCAGACCAGAAAAATGACACAAAGAGTTTGAACCGCGCGCTGCAACGGACGCTGTATCTTCTTGTGAAGAACAAGGAGGGGCAATGGCAGTTCCCACAAGATCGCCTGAAGGATGAGCATCTACATGGGGTATGACCCCACCCCCACTTGGACGAAAGAGAGGGTGTGCTAACAAAGTCCTAGGCCGCAAACCGTATCATTACCAGCACCGGTGGCGTCAACATGAACACCTGGCTCGTCGGCCACGTGCCAATTGGCCACTACCAACTGGAGTATCGCGAGCCGCGACCTTCTGGAAGCCTCAAGGAGTACGGCGCAAAGACCTTCTTCATGAAGGCGCGCATCATGGCTGGTCAAGTCGACCTGAAGGAGAACAAGCTCGGTCTTCAGGACTTCAAGTGGCTAGCTAAGGAGGAATTGCAAAAGGAGGTTGACGGCAGTTACTGGCGATCTATCAAGAATATGCTTGCCGAGCGGTGAGATTGCTTCGCCTTTACGATGTATGGCATGATGAAAGTAGATGACGTGTAGCATGCACCAATTCTTGTAGCATTATGTACATTATTCAGAAATATTGGGCAGTGATTGTGCAATTGATCAATCAAAGCTCGATCGAGAAAGCGTGCTATAGATGTCTAACAAATACATCACGTGTATCATTTTGCTTGGGTGAATAGAAGAGAGCGTATTTTATAGAAAAAGGTAATACGAATCTGCTCGACTACGACAAGAAGACCCGAAAAATCGACATCACTGACACTTCCCAAACTCAGCCAACCAACCCCCCTTTCCATCTTCACTCACACTTCTCCAAATCATAACTAAACCCCTGCTGCGTCCCATAATACTGCCTCCCCAACTCCACACTATCCTCATACTCGCTCTCCACAACTCCCACCTGCCCCTTCTCCCCCACCACCCACAGCTCCGTACGAAAAGTAAACAACCCACTCCCGCATTTCTTCTGCGGAATAAGTTGAGGCGGATAACTAATGTTCGAATAGTGCTCTTGGGCATGCGGTCCGGATTGCAAGGGGCCCGTTAGATCAATCGTATCGGCAACCTATGTGTGTATCAAGGTCAGTTACTCTATTCTGTCATACCTCCCTTCTCCCCCTCCCTCCGTCACACGATCGACAAGCCAAAAGGAAAGAAAGAGAAATAGAAGAGAAAAAAAAAGGGGGAACACCATACCTCCCTCCTCCAAACGCCCTCCCCTCATAATACGCAAAATCCCAATAAACCCTCACCCCCTCATCCAACCTATACGTCAGCAACCCCTTGGTCCCATTCTTATGCACCCTCAACCTATACCTCTCCGCCTCCGCCTTCCCCTCTGTATCCGCAAATTCTTTGTACGAGACGGTGGCTTCGCACCAGGTGTGACGCGGGCCGGAGGCGAGATCGACGCGGAGCCAGGGGTAGGCGATGAACCAGTAGTAGATTTCTGAAAAGTCGATTGTGTTGGTGCCGTGGGTGGGGCGCGTGGTGCGGATTGTGGAGGAGGATGAGGTGTTTTTGCTAGTGTCCGGGCAGCCTGGGCCGAAGAAGGAGGAGAGGGTGAAGGACCAGTTTGGAGGGAGGATGCGCTGGGGGTCTGTTGGGGCAGAGGCAAGGGCGAGGGTTATGAGGAGGGAGAGGGTTGTGGTGGTGTATTTCATTTTGAGGGTGAGGGATTGAGGGGGCTTTTAGTTGGGTTGCTTACTGTGCTCTTGCGTGTTTTTTTTCGACAACATCGTGGTTGATGGTGTGTTCATGGGGCTTTTATACTTGTCGACGGGTATGGTAGAGGTGCCATTTGGATAGTCTGGGGAACTCTACTGTAGGCAATATGTGTGTATCACCTGGATATCTGTTGGAGAAGCCCGCTGGACATATCGTCTCACACGTTCATATGAATCGTTACTATATCGCTCTTTGATCAACGTCAAGGATTCCGTGGAGGAGGCATAGCAATTTCGATATCGTGTCGTATCGTATAGAGAAGAAAGTCTGTTGCGAGCGTGGTTGGTGTTTGGTATGAAGTTGGTGAGCAGAGATGAAGTCAGGCGGCCACCACTCGACGTGTAACTAGTGATCTACCCACTTATTTCTGGATCCTATGTTGCTTGCATTCTGCGGCCCGGCTGATCATCACTGTCCTGCAGTCTATCTCCAGCACCAATCCGGATCAACTTGGGGTTTCTGTGTCAATATGTGGTTAAACAGCCCCATGTGGGGAAGCCTGGAATAGGACGCATGCAGCGGCTCGTTAAGGGGTTGAGGCTGTGCAGTGCGTATTGTGTCCGTCAGCACTGTGAAACTTGACGAATTATAAGCTCCATGTGAGGTAACGGCTTCCATATATGTGCAGTGGGCATCATTTAGCCTATAGTGATTGCTGAGAACAGAAAGTAATCTGCAGACGATAGAACAGAGACTGTAAGGGGATGGGTTCATACGAAATATCGCGATCTTCTTCACTCATTCGATCGTTGTGCGAGATCGGCTGACTCTTATGGTATTGATTGACAATTTTGATGCGAGATTATCGAGATATTGTGAAAAGTGCGCGATTTTATGGATCCTCATAAGGCTGTGTTTGGCAAAGAACGTGGCTGGCGATTGCTGTACTTCTATAGACCGTCTTAACATGAGAAGAGGCTGAATCACCATCAACCAGCCAGTTGTTGGTTCTCCAAAGTTGGTTCTCAGAGTACTGACACCATCTTTTTTCGTGAACCCTTTCTAGGCAATAGACAGATTTTGTGTTTACATTGTATTCGTAGCTGTCTGGTTTGTACGCTTCGACTATTAGAGGAGAATCCCGATCTTGGATCCTAAAAATAACAATTGCCAAGGTAATCTTTCTCTATTGCGAGTCGCGTTCTAAAATCTAGTGCCAAAGAGAATGAAACCCACCCCACCAACCCGTTCTAATAATGCATGAACGCTCCAGAGATCTCATACAAGCCGCTTTTTTTCATGGTAATAGGACCTCGTACGAAAGAAAACAACACCATGTCTCCAAGTAGTTCTATTCGCGACTCCGAAAACTCCGTTAACATGGCCAAATTCATAATCATGCTTACAAAGTAAGCCATTTACTCTCAATAGAGAGTTGTAAGGAAAAACCCTGATTCGGAATGCCGATACCTCCGCGACTGGTAGGATCGTACGTTGCCTTACGAATATCCGGGAATACTTCGGCGCAAAGATGATGCTGGGCCGACAGAACAAGACTAGCTACCTTGTGAAGCTTTACAATTGCGGTGTCGCTTGCGGTATCGATTGCGAGGTCGTCTAGGATCTCGCTGCCGCGGACATTGCGAAAGGCCGAAGAAGGTCTTCAAGGAGGGGCGTGCGTTCAATGGACATCCTTTTGATCCCTATTCGTTATGATACTTCCAATAGAATGGTTGATGTCCAGTCACGTGAGGTTATCTGCAGGGACCCTTGTTTTCCAGAAGTCTCAAGTAATCTGACTTCTGATGGTGCGGTGGTACGCTTATACAATTGTTGCCAGATCATCAAGTGATTGCTTGTACAATGATGAGGTAGATTGAACTGGTTACCGGATGTCCTAAAAGAGTATCAAGCCGCGCTAAGAAGAGCCAAGATCAACGTATCTGAAGTTTGATAGGTGCTCGACGCGAGGTAACCGGACTACCAATGATCTTTTTTATCCTTGAGACGCGGAGATTGGTATGATTTGGTCCGTGACAGGAGAGAAGCCGTCCCACTTGAGATGTAGCCTCAGTTTCAGGCTCAGGATATCCATCCGTCAAGGTGAGCTGTCTGATGGAGTCATTGGCTCGAGCTGCGGTCCCATACATTGGCCAGGTCATTCAACATACAGACCGAGGGGAACATGCTGATGCTCAAGACTTCTCTAAGAATCTTTAGTATCTCGTCTTGCCTTTCTTTTGTCTCAGCACAAAACGCAGCTAGTATGTTATTAGTGTTCGATCAACGTGAACGCATCGCTGTATACTTACCTGCATATAATGCTTGAAAGCTAACAAAAGCTGATGGCAGATTTTGCGATTGATCTGCTACTGCGATTCCACATATGATCAAGGTACTTTCGTGAAGGAGCTTGAAGCGTGTTTGATACGTATTGAGACCGCCAGTAGAAGGTTGATTAAGTAGAACGACTATCCTTGCAAAATGATAAGTTTGAATGGCAGCAGCATGCGCTGGAGGATGAATCCATATGGGCTGGATCTGAGTTTTTCCCAACGAGGGCGGTGGCGTTACTTGAGGTGAGGATACAACAGGGATAGGATCGAATGATGGTGGAAGAAGCTGTTTCCATGCATCAAGTATCCGAAGTAGGGTTTCTCCAGCTTCGATATAGCCAGCGATATCATCTTGTTTGGAAGTTGCCGCATATTGTACACATTTGGCAGCAATGTATATGATATGTGTCGTCAGCCCCTCTAATGTAAGTTCTGCCATCGGTGTAATCGGTTGGTGGACAGTAAGTGCTGGTCTCCCAGTCCGGAAAGCTGCCCATACATCTTGTCGTAGCCATGCCCACCAGACTGCACGTTGCAATCCGTTTGCAGACTCTCCGCTCGTGCCTGTGTTCTGTTGGATCCAAAAAGCTCCTCTTAGATGGCGATCCCATTCGCTGTGGTCATAAATTGTACCTGCCCCAAACATCACCCATGTCGAGAGCATGATACCAGTTGTCAGTATTTCTAGAGAACTTGTATACGACTTGTGTATCAAGTTTTGCGATATGTACTGTAGTGTCTCCAAGAAAAACTGCTCAGCAATCCTTCGCATAGGTGTTGGCACACTACGATGTGCTCTAGATGGTTGATGATGTACTTGCGATGCGGACTCATTACCAATGTTGTGGTCCGGGTAGAGACTCATGTGGCGTGCGCCAACTGCCAGGATGGACTTGAGCAACCCGACATTGCGCAGAGCGAGATGTGGCACAACATCGGCAAAGTGCTTCTCGGTATCGAACAGGTCCAGTATCGGCGCTACAACAGTTACATAATGTGAAAAATACACCATCTCTTCACTGTTCAGTTCGAGCCTTGTGTGGGTATTCCACGGCTGGGTCGAGACGTTCATTGATTGGATATTCATATTGCTGAAACGACCACCCCCGGGTTCCAAGGTAATGGACTGTAGAGGGGATTGTCTTCTCGACAGGGTTGCGAAGTCAAAATTCCTGAAGTAGGTTTCTCGAGGTGCCTCCTGCATGTACATGATCGCGTCTTCTGCTAGCCGGTCATACCTGCTGAGCGTCAGTTTCTTATTAGCTTTACAAGTAGATTGATATTACCATTCATTGGGACCAGAAGTGGTTATCAAACTATCTCTGAAACTAAAAAAGCTATCATTGAGAAGGAATCCCTCGTCGGGAATTATGTTATCAGAGAGCACTGATTGCCCGGTGGGAAATGGTATCCATGATTGGATGGGAGCCACAGTCTTTGGACTTAGTGTGCTCCCTGATATTGAACAACTCGCTTCTGGGTCGCTATCTGGCGGCACCGATTCGGTACCAGTTGACGAGCCTTCTTCTGGCTTGCGAGCACTCAAAGCCCTGGGTTGCCGAGGTGCAGATGATTTCTCGGCATAGACACATTCGCGGGTGACCCTTTCGCAATTCTGGCAACTCGGTCGGCCTTCATCGCACTTGACCCGGCGCTGGCGGCACGTCAAGCTACCAGGAGTTAGTGAATGTGAGGAATCTGATTACGCCACGGAAATTCAAAGCTGTAAATATGTGCAAGTCGCGGCCGCACCAGACAAGGGGGCCATCTCAGCTTATTTTAGTAACAAAATCCTTTACGTAACATACCAACCCGTAGAGGTTCTTAAACCTCTTGATTTGGAAGGCATCCCTCCAAAGTCATGCGATGGGTACACGGGAGCCAATGTTTGAAGGGATCGTGTCGAGCTGGAGATAGGCGGGCTCGATGCGGGCGACTGGCTCAAATACGATCTAGGTAGCCGCACGGAAGCTAACCGCAGTCGCGTGCGCAAGTCTGCGGAGGTACCCCTCGCCCAGCTCGGTCCAGCATGACTCGAAGTGTGGAGAGATGATACGAAAGCACCGACGGTGTAGGATGTGTTGAGGAAGGGTACGATTGACTGCTGAAGTAGTAAAAGCTCAATTTTCACGTGGATGACGTTGGCGTCGTTATCGGCGTGTAGAGCAGCGATTTTGACACAGACAGGCTACACACGTGATAAGGAGAAGCACCCCGAGTTGTGTTTTCACCTTCCAATGACGATCCAAAATGGCCTGTACAAGAAGATAAAGGTATGGTACGTATTGTTGGTCTACATTGCCATGGTGAGAGGCTTTTTCCATTCTAGTACCAACGCGCTGTCTGGGCAGCGGAATCCAATGGGATACAGTATAGTATACAAGGTTTGATACACAATATAAACGACACCCCTGTTCATCCCCTCCACAAGTCGCCCCCTCGACCACGGAACCCACCGCCTCTGCCTCGTCCTCTGAAACCGGCTCTGCCACCTCTGTATCCTTCACTCCATGGGCCGCGATCTTCACCAACCTCTACGATACGATCATCATCGTCGAAGCTGTACTTGTATTTCATCTCTGTCTTGATGCCTCTTCCTTTTCTGACCTCGCCTGGTGCCCAGTCTCGACTTGTCTCAGCATCCAATTCCTTCAGTCTCA